TAATTTAATGCCAGTTATAACAAATGTTAAACCTGATATGTGTGTTTAATTTTATTCTTTGGGTCCTGTGAATTTTCAATGGGTCAGAGAGACACCTGAAACTTACAGGACCCACTGTCCTGTTACTTTGAAACGCCATTCGTGAACACTGGAAATTAGATGAATATTAGACCGAATTGATAGTCTCTAAATTTCATTTGAAGCCAAACAAACAAATTATTCAACCTTTAAGTACTAATTTGAATGGTCCATACAGGAAATATAAAGGTCCTGTTAAGTCGTGAAATAGTGTTGTGTAGTGTAAGATTTAATAAGTGCTTCAATAACAGGAACTATATACCTCTTGTTGATAATTTAGTACAATGAACATCATTGTGCATCCCTTGGAGTAATCTGTCTCACAGTCCCTGAACCACATTATTTTCCCTACTGCCTATCCCTCTCTGCAATGCTAAAGCCCTAAATGAAGCAAGTCTAGATTTCCTCAGGTTCAGGTACTGAATCTCCCATCTGACTGGGGCTCCTTTTCAATTTAAATGGGATTATTTGTTACTATCAAAATTAGATATATTCAGAGACTATAAGTCCTATACTTCAATATACATCAGTGCTAATTCATATGCTTCAACACACAATAGTATTAATTCATATACTTCATTGTACAACAGTATTAATTCATATGCTTCAACACAGAACAGTATTAATTCATATACTTCAACACACAACAGTTATAATTCATATACTTCAACATACAACAGTATTAATTGATATACTTCAACACACAACAGTAATAATTCATATACTTCCACAGACAACAGTAATAATTCATATACTTCCACAGACAACAGTACGAATTTAAATGTTTCAACATACAATAGGATTAATTCATATACTTCAACAATGACTTACAGCAGTCCTAGCACTTTCATTGCTTTGTGAGATAGTGGTTCTTGACACTTAGACGATTGTTGCTAAGGGGTTTGAGACAAGGGATCCCTCAGTCTTAAGCTTTTGATTTTGATGTAATTATTACACAATCACAAGTTTACTAGACCAGGCAGAGTTTTACTTGATTTGGACTTTTAATGAGTGGCTCAAGTCACAGGCTATCTTACATCAAGGTGATTGATTGGACTTCTCACAGTCCAAAAATGAAACATACAACTTTATGGATGACAACTTCTTGTCTATTGCATAGAGCGATGTTTCCATGTAGATTCTTACACCATTATCAAGCTAAAAGTTGCTAAAAGTTTTGAGGACCAAACTTTGCCGTAAACATCATTTTCAAGATTTGGATGCAGTAATTATATCCCCGCTATGAAGTAACGGGGGTATATAGCGTTCATTCTGTCCTTCCGTCCGTCCTTCCGTCTGTCCGTCCCGAAAGTTTGTCCGCGAGCATATCTCTTAAAGTTTACATGCTAGGTTCACCAAACTTGACACATGTTAATCATTACCCATTGATGTGCCTTTTGCTATTTTAAATATTTTTCAGAATTTTGTTTTTTTTGCTGTTTCCATGGAAACACGACTTAGGGCCAAATGTGTTTGATTGTTTTGTCCGGAGCATATCTCTTAAAGTTTACATGCTAGGTTCACCAAACTTCACACACATGTTAATCATTACCCATTGATGTGCCTTTTGCTACTTTAAATTTTTTTCAGAATTTTGTTTTTTTGCTGTTTCCACGGAAACACAACTTAGTGCCAAATGTGTTTGATTGTTTTGTCTGGAGCATATCTCTTAAAGTTTACATGCTAGGTTCACCAAACTTCACACACATGTAAATCATTACCCATTGATGTGCCTTTTGCTATTTTAAAGTTTTTTCAGAATTTGTTTTGTTGTTTCCATGGAAACATGACTTAGTGCAAAATGTGTTTGATGGTTACCTGGCCACAGCATATCATCGAAACTATACATGCTAGGTTCACCAAACTTAATACACAAGTTAATCATGACCCACAGATATGCCATGTGCTAAAAAATAACAATCTTCATCTACGTCCACTTCATTGTGTGCAACATGAGACAGTCAAGTTCAATTGTATGTCAGGTTCCACGGAAAACACAAAAAAATAATGTTTCCATAAATTATTACTGTAATCAGTACATGGCAAAACTATTATCTAACATGTATATAAAGTTTAGTAGAGTCAAGGAGAAAGTCTTGTGAGCTGCTGATCCATGTCACATGATATATATCAGTATCAGTCATTGCCATGTCCCAAAGTGGGAAGCGGGGGTATGTGAGCTGTGCTCACTTCTACACTTGTTATACAATCACCACCTTACTGGACCAAACAAAATGTCACTTGATTTGGATTTGGGATGAGCAACTTAAGTCACAAACTGCCTTCATCTGTTATACATCTTTTTAACACTGATATGCAGTGAATACAAACATGACAATGGTTAAAAAATAATCGCTGGTAAGGAGTGTCGTTTCAGCCTGTATACTGACCCAGGTAGCTTGCTCAGTGTACCACTGTGAGACATGCCTCAGTAATCACGGTAACATAGATCCCTGGTGAGGTACATTTACCGACCTTGCACACATGAATCACGAGGAAAAGCTGTATTAAATGGCAGTGTTTTTATTCCATGTTACCATGCCGACTGTATTGTAATCATGAGAAGAGATTAATGTGGCTTACTAGTGTTAAAACTGTTTTACATCATGCTGAATTAGGACAAGCTGACAGTGATGTATCTGACCGTGAATGACATGACCTGCCAGAGTTTTGTACCACAGACTAATGGTCCATAGTATTATCAGTCATCTTAATTTTTTTATGAGCTGATGGACACAACACTGTGCATCTGTGAAAATATTATCCTCTGTCTTATGAAAGTCATAAGTCATAATGATATAGTCATATTTTATGTTATTGTATGTAGGGGAGGTTAGGTTGCCTAGTTGTTAAAGCGTTTGCTTGCCATGACGAAGACCGGGTTTGATTCCCCACATGGTACAATGTGTAAAGCCAATTTCTAGTGTCCCCCATCGTGATATTGATGAAATTTTGCTAAAAGTGGCGTAAAAGTATGCTCACTGTTTTATGTGAAGAAATGTCCCAAGTTGACATATGATTGTGGATGCAGATAATATCTGTCAATGTTCCTGAATGTTCCTGAATTTGAACAGTCTTAATGGCCATTTTGTCCTGTATATTCCTGCATTTCAGTGTAATATTTCTCCCGTGTACCATATTTATCTTGTAGGGAAGCTCAGAAACCTGTCAGTTTCCCAACTGCATATCATGTACATTAAACTATGTTTATAACTAAGGTGAGGTGAAATTGGGTTTAACGTGGTGTTTGCGAATATTTCGCTCATATGACGACGTGCATGCATATGTGTGCGGCTGCTTGTACTAGCCCAGACTTAAGCTGGTTCTACAGTGCTAGCCCACTGAGATACCATGCCGCAGTGAAGCATGAATACCCCACTCACACACATTATACTGACTCCGAGCCGACCAGTCCTTGTTGTACCCATTAATGCCGAGCGCCAGGCAGGGACCAACAAGTACCATATTTTAATTTCTTTTGGTATGACGCGGTCGGGGATCGAACCCGCGACCTTCCTCTCTTCGGGCGAACGCTCTAACCACTACACCATGGAGGCGGTCGTTTATAACTAATATACTTATAATAATAATATAATAATAATACTTTATTGCCTGACAAAGGAATTTGTTTTACAACAGTGAGACACAGCATGGTTAAAAAAAATTAAGCACAGAAACACGATCACCTTAAACACACAAATAAACAGGATGAGAAGAATAACAAGTGTGTACTGTTAGGGACTAGTAGACAAATGCATTTAAAATTGTGGCTAAGTCTAACATTCATTTAAAAGTTTAATGCTAACAGGTATAAAAGATGTTTGGGACCTTTTTGTGCGAACTTTAGGGACGAGGAATCTACGTCCAGATGGTAAAAGTTTAAAACAAGAATGTAAATCATGAGACGGGTCGGATATAATTTTGTTCGCAGACATTAAATCACGATTCTCATACATATAACAAAGGGGGTTAAAATTCATGCTGACAATTTTTGAACAGGTGGTTACAACTTTTTGGAGTTTGTCTTTGTTTTGGAGAGAAAGGGCACCAAACCAACATTGAACAGAGAACAGTAAAATAGATTGGATACAGCTGTTATAGAAAACATTCAAAATGGTATTGTCAATGTTAAAAGATCTGAGCCTTCTCATAAAATACATCTGTTGTTGACATTTCTTGTATATATAGCCACGGCATTTTGAGAGAAAGTGAGTTTACTGTCTATGGAAGTTCAGAGATATTTGTAATCCGTGACAGTCTCTATAGTTTCACCATGAATTTGCAGAGGGGAACAGTTTGAATTTTGCCTAAAGTCAATGATCATTTCTTTGGTTTTTCTAGTGTTGAGCTGAAGGAAGTTTCTGCTACACCATGTTGTGAATTTGTTGACTTCAGACCGATAACCTTCTTCAGATGAACGGACTGATGTAATGATCTGTCATTTGTCCTGGCCACTTATGGACAATTCATAATTTATGACTAGTGGGGTGATGATGATTTTTATTCAGAAACATGTACAAAGTAATGACTCCCCCTAAAATTTATGTATGAAGTAAGTGACCCTTCCCTTCATGTTATGTACAAAATCAATGATCCTCCTCTCTTCCCATAATTTTTAAGCATGAATTTTTCATATTTTTATGAACAAAATTGCTGCCCCCACACACACACACACACACACACACACCCACACACCACTCCACCACCCCAAAAACAACCCCCAAAATACCAAGAAAACCCAAACAAACTAAATTGTGTGGTCCCTTTGAGTTCGATATAACTGGAGTTAGCTATAGTTGAAGCCATATTAGTGTTATTTATCCTAAAATATTTTGTCATACACCAGTTTAAACATGTTGCAGTACTTTATGTACAGGTCACAGAGGATATCACTCATATGTGTCTTGTTTATATGTTCACAGATGCTGATTGTGGTAACAACTGAAGTGATTCTCATGATGTTTGCTACGTCCAATGTCTGGAGGAGGTTTGTTCGGCTTTCTTCAGGGTTGTTAGGGTGGAGGGGTAGCCAAGTGGTTAAAGCGTTTGCTCGCCACGCCAATTCCTGATTCGTGTGAAGCCCATTTCTGGTGTCACACAACATGATATAGCTGGAATATTGCTAAAAGCGGTGTAAAACTAAACTCACTCACTAAGTGTTCAGGGTTGATAGCTCAACTGGTAGTATTTGAATAATGGCATGATGATGTACATCAAGATTCATGTCATGGTAACCATGGTAACACTGTTTTTTACATGATTGATTGATTGTTTCTGGCATTTACATCTTTAGTGAAGTCCTGGATGATTGGTATACTGCTGACCAAGCAGAATCGTAATAAACTCTATGTTGGTATTCACCCGTGAAGATCCGGGTTAGAGTTGATCTTCAGTAGACCATGCTTGTCGTAAGAGGCGAATAACGGGATCGGATGGTCAGGCTCGCTGACTTGGTTGACACATGTCATCATATCCCAATTGCGCAGATCGATGCTCATGTTGTTGATCACTGGATTGTCTGGTCCAGACTTGATTATTTACAGACCACCGCCATATAGCTGGAATATTGCTGAGTGCGGCGTAAAACTTAACTCACTCAATATGTTGGTATTCAGTATGGTTGCAACAAATACACTGTGAGGTGGATATAATGTATATCACAGAAATTGGGTAATGAATATGAATGAAACAGAGCACAGTCAACAGGGTACCAACTGTATTCACTAGAATGTCTTGTCTTTCTCCAATCATTCCCATATGCCCATAAAATTTCTTGGACTCATTCACACCGTGAAAATATTCCCCCATGGATATAACATCTGTTTGATGTAATATTGAAAATAATATATTTTTCTTTTCTTTCCAAGCACATTAAATTATTTTGTTTCCAGCACTGACTATGGTCGCACATGGACCAATATTGACGACCAGATCCAGAAGTCAGTGATCAGAAAGGACAATGGATTGCAGAGGAATCCCCATTCAGCAGCTTGGGTAAGTGCTAACAAGACAATATAACAGTGTTACATGCAGATATGTTGAAAGGAATTTGATCTAGGAAGATCCGAGTTAGAATTGTCATTTAGCAACCCAAGCTTGTTGGTGACTAACAGGATCGGGTGGTCAGGCTCGCTGACTTGGTTGATACATGTCACCATATCCAAATTGTGCAGATCGATGCTCATGATATCAATCACTGGATTGTCTGGTCCAGATTTGATTATGCACTGACTGCCGTCATATTGCAGCAATATTGCTGATTAAGGTGAGGTGAGGTGAAATTGGGTTTAACGTCGTACTTGAGAATATTTCGCTCATATGACGACGTGCATGCGTGTGTATGTGTAGGTGCGGCTGCTTGTACTAGCCCAGACTTAAGCTGGTTTTATAGTGCTAGCCCACTGAGATACCATGCCGCAGTGAAGCATGAATACCCCACTCAGACACATTATACTGACTCCGAGCCGACCAGTCCTTGTTGTACCCATTAATGCCGAGCGCCAGGCAGGGACCAACAAGTACCATATTTTAACGTCTTTTGGTATGAAGCGGTCGGGGATCGAACCTGCAACCTTCCGCTCTCCAGGCGGATGCTCTAACCACTACACCACGGAGGCGGTCTTGCTGATTTAGGTGTTTAGCTACAAACAGATCAAAAGGAATTCGCTTTATGCACATGTAGAATGAGTTTCGATGTTTTTGTTTCAACCTTTGAGGATTCTGGGTAAGAATATGGGTCCCCAGCGATCTTTGGTTGTAGTAAGAGGCAACTAAATGGAACACATGGTCTGTGACTTAGTAGATTGTATGTCATTATGTCCCACTGATATGAGATGTAACATATGTTATGGTATGGCTTCGAATCCCAAAAGTACAAGACTCTGGAGTTAACTGAGAAAGTGTAATCCCCAGTATGGTACATTTGACCACTTTCCAAAAGCATTGTGTGTTCAATACTGTTCATGATTTTTGTGATGTCTATCACTGGATTGTTTAGTCCAGACTGTGTTGTTATTTACAAACCATTAAATACATTTATAATGCTGCTGCACTAAATACGACTTTGGGGTAGCCTTGTGGTTAAAGCTTTCGCTCTTCACACGAAAGACCCGGGTTTGATTCTGGGTTCAATTCCCCACAGGGGTACAATGTTTGAAGCCCATCTCCCCCACAGTGATATTGCTGACATATTGCTAAAAGTGGCGTAAAACCACTCACTCACTCTGTTTTAATCTAATTTATGACATAAATAATTAAGAACTGTATGTATTAAATTCGGTGAAAGTAAAATGACTGTAGATCAGATTAGTGTTATGGCTTTTCACCTGTCAAGATCAAACTCAGGTGTTAGAATACAGAATCATTCATCACAATGCCATACTGCGAGTCATAAAAAGTCTCTTTTATTGTTGTCTTTCAGTGTCATTTAGAAGTTGTACATTGATGTCCAAGATATTTTTATGGATTAAACTTCTTTTTTAATTTCTCTCACGACGTTTCGAGACCATTCCAGGTCCCTTCATCAGGTGAACTGATGAAGGGACCTGGAATGACTGGAATGGTCTCGAAACGTCGTGAGAGAAATTAAAAAAGAAGTTTAATCCATAAAAATATCTTTTATTGTTGTTTGGCTGTTGTATGTTGATGTATTAGATTACTGATCAAATAACAACACCATGTTTGTGATAAGTAAAATAAGGTAAATGAGGTTACCAGTCTTTGGCTCCAATCTGATGGCTCATCTCTCACTGGAATTTCACATCTTTTCTGAAAATACAAGTGAATGTGCACGTTTTATTATGTCATTTGATTAGAGACAAATTTTCCATCATTGAATATATTTCATTTTATTAAGCAGACAAAATCCTTGGACGAGGTTTTTATATTGAAGCTTTCAAGAATTTTTAATGTTGTTTTCAAGACATCAGTCTGTTTAAAAATTCTGAAGTCTGCTAGCCCGAACTTGCCTCTTTGTATTAATAGTTTTACAATTGAGTGTTATCAAAATGGTTATCATGTGGACCATTGTGAGCTGATTTTACTAGATTGGACAGAATTTTACTAGACACTGGCTTCAGACCAGTGGCTGAGATAATCTCAGGGCTACTCCCATGCTGTTTTCTGAGATTGGAATCACTGACCTTGCAGGCATAAAGCTGTACTAACGCATAGTCTTTGAAAATATAATGATGAAAACATTAACAGAAACAAAAAAGTACCATTTTTGTAAAGAGATGGGAAATTCAAAACTTTATTTAAATCTGGACTTGCTTCATTTAGGCCTTATGCATTACAGAGAGGGCTTGATGGTAGGAAAAGTAATATGGTTCATCTACTATGAGACAGACAAAATGTAAAGCATGTTACAAGGAAAATAGTACCAGGGTACTTGGAACAACCACATGGAAACAACTTCCTGCTTTACCTGCATTTAAACTCTCATTGAATAATCCCACTCAACTCAAGATTTGAGTGAGCAGGTGAGTTTGGTTTTACGCCGCTTTTATCAATATTCCACCTGTACTCCGCAGGGGACAGCAGAAATGGGTTTCACACATTGTTCCCATGTAGGGAATCCAAACTGGGTCTTCAACACGAAAAGCAAACACTTAAACCACTAAGCCACCACTTAACTTCCTCACTGCGGTTCAAGATTAGAAGGGGCGGTGGGGTAACCTATTGGTTAAAGCTTTGGTCACGTTGAAGACCCGTGTTCCGATTCATCACATGGGTGAAGCCCATTTCTGGTGTCTGGTGACATTTGCTGGAATAATTGCTAATAGCGGACCACATGGGTGCATCGTGTGAAGCCCTCTTCTGGTGTCCCCTGCCGTGATATTGCTGGAATATTGCTAAAAGCAGTGTAAAACTAAACTCACTCACTCACTCACTAAAAGCGGCGTAAAACCATACTCACTCAAGATTAGAATAAGAAATCATTGATGTTTAATGTCTACTAACAAAAGCAGGTTTCATTTTCTAACAAAATTATGTCATGATTTTAGAATATTTAACAGCTCCTGTCAACATCCAGATGTCTCTATATAACTTATATGTCAATTTGTCAGTACCGGTAACCAGTTATGACTGCAAAGCTGTGTTAAATGATCAATATGTTTGTTGCTCTCATAAACCTGTCACAGTTACTGATGGCCATGAACATGTTTTAAAGCAAACTGTCGATGCAGCATACATGTATTTTTTATTCCTAAACAGGTTTTTTGAGTTCCTGTTGAAAAGATGACCTAGAACTGATGTGAGCGAGGAAAAAAATATATATTCCAGTGAGAAAATAAATACATATTCCAATTAGAAACAAAATAAATTTCTTGGGTTGAGAGGATAGCTAGAGTTGTTTTTCATGCTGTTAAAGACAGCACATATTATTAGTTTAAATGAGTCAAGATACATGGGCTCAGTTGGCTATGGTGCCGAAAATTGCGTATTGCGGCACAAGGTCTTCGGTTCAGTCTGTTTCAGTTCGGTATATGAGATATGATCATAATGCAGAAAATTGACAAGAGCCAAACCTAGACAGATTTTGACAAAATGATTTGATTTCTAGTCATTTTAGAAAAGGTTTAAAAAGGTTAATAAAATGTTGGCACGAAATCTGAAAATACAGATTTTTTTTATTGCATTATGGTATACTGAACCGAAGGCAAAATACTGCGGTTCTACTAATACCGCGATATGCTGCTTCACCCCTATCTCTAATTGTTTCTTGGCTTATCAACACCTTACCCTTGTTCTACATCTGGTAAAACCTCTCCGACCTGCATTACTTACAGCTCTGACTCACTTGCTTTTGCAGATCCCTGGATACTGAAAGATTCCATGTGAAGAGATCCTACCTTTATATACAGTTTATTGTGACTGTGAACTTTCTCGTCTATTTACAGGTGTATATGTTAACACACAAGGAGACTGTGTACCTCACAGAGAATGGGGGAGAGACCTTCTTGGCCAAGAAGGTTACAAAAGAAGGGACCACTGTGTCAAGGCATTTGATCTTCCACTCAGACAATCGACCCGCCTATGTAATGGCCATTGCAACCAATGGAGATGTAAGTAACAGTAGATATTTCAGGTTTTAGACCCTGCACTTACTGTGATACAGCAGGGACCATCATCTGTAGGGAGGGTCTGGGTGCCGTTGTGCAAAACGATGTTAGCACTAAGGCAACCGTAACTCCCATACCTTAACATCTCATTCAGGTAGTCTTAGCACTAAGGTTGTTTTGTACAATAGCACCCTGATGTGTATATCACATGTCCATTCTTTTTCAGATTCCTGGAGACAAATTTTATTCAGGATATTTTCATAATTTTTGCATATTTGTAATAGGACATACCTCTATACAATCACAAAATTTATAAAACTATCTTCAGTACTTTTGAGATAACTATTAGTCAATGGTCATGCAAAAACCTATGATGAAACCAAGAAATTAAAGAAGACTGTCCATAAATTCAGTTTAACAGTAGTATTAAGACCAAATTAAGACCAGATTGCTGTTTGTTTCCTTGTATTATATGAATAAATAGAGAAATATAAGCCAAAGAAGCCTCCTAATTATCAATGTAAGCACGATATGTAGCTTTTGGAACCTTTAATGAAATGTTTGATCGAACCACACCATTTATTTTATTGTGCCCGAAGAATTCTTTTTGTCTATGTAATCACCATACATTAAGAAAATCCAACATAAAATTAATTCTGACTGTTTGTCGATAACATTGAATCCATATATGGGTTCCTGATTGTTGCAGATTGTAATCATATACTCATAGAAACAAATTAGGGAACACATGAAAGTACCAGTTTTCCTTTATTTATTTCCAGAATTTTACTCACAGTGCAATACATACCTTGTGATGAAATCTGGAAAATAATAAAGAAACACTTGTACTTTCATGTGTTCCCTTATTTGTTTCCATGAGTATATATACCAAGTTTATGGAAGGCATAGTACTGTCTTTGATATGATTCAGAAAGTATCTGATACCATTCTCCCATTCCAGTTATCTGAGCGAAAAATTCTTAAGTGTGACGTTAATCCCCATTTCACCTCATCTCGCCTCACCTCTGTCATTCCAGTTATTTGCTACGAATAACAACTTCAAAGACAGCCGTCTGATCTCCAAGAATGTCGTGCAGGCCAAATGGTATGTATTCTCCTAGTGGGAATTGCTCTACTGCTGTCTCCTTCAAAAAATTGGGGTGGTGGGGAGCCTAGTGGTTAAAGCGTTCACTCGCCACGCCGAAGACCCGGGTTCGATTACACACATGGGTACAATGTGTAAAGCACATTCTGGTGTTCCCCGCCGTGATATTGCTGGAATATTGCTCAAAGTAGTCAAAGCAGCGTAAAACTCACTCACTCACTCCTTCAAAATTCAGCTCTATTGCTCAACAACTACAGGCTTTCATAAAATTATCGTCCGGGCGGTGGGGTAGCCTAATGGTTAAAGCGTCCGCTCGACATGCTGAAGACCCGGGTTCGATTCCCCACATGGGTGCAATGTGTGAAGCCCATTTCTGGTGTCCCCTGCCGTGATATTGCCGGAATATTGCTAAAAGTGGCGTAAAACCATACTCACTCACTCACTAAAATTATCGTCCAAATGTGCAGCAAACATATATAAGCTACACAAGTGAATCATATAATACACTTTGTGTGTGGCGATGTGTGGTCCTGTGCATAGAACTCATGTCAGAATCAGTTGAAGTTAAGCAACTTTGGGAGCGGAGAGTCTTTCGATGGGTGACTGTGTTTGGCAGCTTGACTCCTGAGAGTGTGTTCATTCAAAATTGCCTCTATCCACCCAGCAGTAAATTGAGTACCTGGTATGATACTGAATTTGAACCTTGAGCTCATGAGAGGCGACAGGTTGTATTCTCCAAAGGGAGTGTTCTGTACTCATTGACCAGGGGTGTTATGTCAGCGCTTTGAGCATGCAATGTACATGGATATGTGCGAAGTGTAAATGGACTATTATTATCTTACTATTACTTTGTCTCAGCAGGAAGAGCCATTGACAGGGTTTCATCTTGACCTACAAAACCAGGGCCCTGTTCCTCAAAGCAATCGTAGTGCTACGACAGTCGTAAGTCTGTGTTAAAGTATGGGAGTTAAGATGACCTTACCGCTATGATCGCTTTGTGGAACGGGGCCCAGGGGTCCAGATACCGAATTTTTAAAATTTGATTGATCCTTACATTTGATGGTCCTGTGAAGTAATGAAATAGTGTAATGTATTATTTTTCTTTATCCTGACTCATGCTAAATGCTTGTCTCCTTCTTCTTGCGAATGATAGTGGAACACTTGAAATCCCTTGAAGTTCCCTTCTAAAAAGCGGACGTAAAATCATCACTCACCCACGAGTAGTCTCCCTTGCCTCTTTGGCGCCCTTTTTGGTCACATGACCAGACATGTTTGTCACTTTCTCCTTCCTCGCCCTTGAGGACAGTTGTGAGAGCACCTGGGTCCCATACGGCACATATCCTTTTCTCTTTTGGACCTTTTACATCTTAATTACAGCTTTATATGGTTTTTGGATTGTATACTACTAATATGGTTTGGAATTATGTCTAAATTATACGTTGTTGACATGTTTTTTCATCGTGTTTACATTTGATGAAAACTTGTATTTGTTGTAGGTACCGGCTGTCTGCTGCTGACCCACATTTATTATGTCCTGATTGCACTACTTCATGTTTTTCCAGCTCCCGCTGTAAACATTGTCAGAAATTAACTACTTTTGAATTTAATAATTACCTTTTTTCCATTTATAGACGTACAAAGCACTGGGTTAGAAGGTATTCACAAGTCATGTCTGGTAAATCGAGTGATTGCGCTGATAACCGTGTGTTAACTACTGCTGCCGGTGTTCATAATTCCAGTGAATTGCCGAGCGTTTTACGAGGGCAGGTAGCTGTTCCAGTGATGAACTCTGGCTTGAATAAGAAGAGATTGTCATCAACAGAGCTGTCCTATTCTCAGACAAAGAAGACTAGATCGTCTTCAACGCACAAGAAGAAGGCTACAACCCCTAAGACTTCGTCGAAGTCTCTACACAGCTCTACGCAGAAGACGAGATCCTTCTCTGCCGAGATTATACCTCCGGAAGAAGCAGACGTGTATGATGATTCTCGCATCCTCATACCTGAAGTCACAGTCATCAGCAAGAAGACGAAGCCTACTTCTGCAGCTACATTGGCAACTATATCAGCACAGACATTGACAGAAGACCTTCTATCAAAGCAGACATCGGGTACCAGAGATAGCAGCAGCGTCAACTCTTGTCAAGTGCAGCGTACCTTAGAAGAGGCCTCATCGTTCTCAGAAGCATCATCAACCCTGCAGCAGTCTCAAGATACGTCGAACTGTTTATGCAACAGTTTACAGACCAGATGATGTCGATGATGGAAATGTCGCTTCGCGCAGGAGAAAGCTACTATGAAGACCACTACAATGACTACAAGCCTGCGCAAAGATTCAGCAACCTCTCCAACGCACTTGGAAGAAGAGGGAAGCCTGCGCGAAGGCTCACGCACCCGACGATCTTCCCCATCTGAAGCTAGGAGCCTGGACAACGCTACCAACGTCAGCTCAGCCTTAGACGTCCCTGAAGGAGCCTCTAAGAATTCTCCACGCAGAAGCAGATCGAAGCGTTCTCCAGAACCCTACAGACGCCATAGATATGGATCGACATCACTGTCGGACTCAGACTCACATCGGGAACCTGCACGCAGGCACTCCACATCTCACAGAGGGGAGATTACGTCAAAGAATCAACCTTCACGAAGGCCTAGAGAGATATCTCAAGACTCCAGGAGGGATACACGGTCACATCGGGATCGTTCACCTGCGCGCAGCTCTACATATGTACAGATTTACATACAGAGACTCACGTTGTCATGGATCGTCAGATCGGGAGATGCCTAAATCAGAGGAAGAAGGTGAAGTCATATTCTCCGATGCGGAAGTAACCTCATGGATTGCAAATGGTCTGGACCTAGCATCACCTTCCAAGGACACAGACGAGGCGTTTACCTACAAGATGTCCAATGAAGAGTTCGACACACTCACCTTTCCGCCTATCGACCCGATCTCCAAAGTACCGGACAGTCTCAGCTCAGCCTTTGATAAGGCCACCAAGTTCCAGAGTCAACATATCCCGACATTTAACGCCAGGAGATTCCCCTTACATCACATGGAACCCTTCCTGAAGGCACCAGAGATTGATGAGGACTACAAGATCATCAACGACTCCCGCTACAGAGCTTACAAGATAGAGGACAAGAAGCTAGCACAACTGGATACAACTACTAGACATACCTTTTCCGGACTAACCAGGTCTAGGGCTATCAACGAAGCACTCATCTCGAAGTTCAAGAACTCCACCGCCGAAGACGACCGGATGATATACTCTGCTCTACTGGCTCTAGGAGACAAGGATTACTGTCGGCGTGCACCTGGAGGGAGCGGTTCACCAAGTCCTTATACAGAGCCCCATGGTCAGCATATTCCATCTTCGGAGGAGGAATTGAAGAAGTCCCCAAAGATGTTACACACGAATCAAGGGAGGTCATGATGATTAAGTCCATAGATAACTTGGCAAATGTGATTCGTCAGACGTCCCAGCGCTACTCCAACAAATCCAAGTTTGCAGGAGTCCAGAAAGCCAGAGAAAGGAAATATTCCAACTCCAGGGGTGGAAGAGGTTCTTTTCGTCGCCCAGCCGGAGCCCCCAGAAGGAACCCCGGAAGAGGTCGAGCACCCACAGGTGCCAGGGGAACCAAGCACTGAAGGCCAGGTTTGGAACGACTGGAGTGTTCCACCCCCAGCTGTTCCCGTACAACCTTCGACAGTGGGTGGACGTCTACAATGGTACTGGGAGAATTGGGGAATACTACAGGACGAGTACGTATCCCAGATACTACGTAGAGGGTACAAGATTCAGTTGGAAGCCACTCTGCCGCCTACAAGCAACCCGCTTGCTTTAAAAATACGCAGCCGACCAGACAGAGAAACTAAATGACGCAGTCAAGACACAACTCAACAAAGATGCAGTCAAAGAGATAAATCAAGACCACATCACACCCGGTTTTTACTCCCCAATTTTCCTGATACCGAAGAAGAATTCCAAGGAGAAGTTTCGGCTCATCTACAACATGAGGAAGTTCAACCAGGAGTATCTCCGCAGACCAGAAAAATTCAAGATGATGCATCTTCCTCAGCTCCGACATCTTGTTCATCCATCAGACTACCTCGCCAGCATAGATCTATGCTTACCTACACATTCCGATACATCCAGACTCAAGGAAATACCTAAGATTCCTTTTCAACGAACATCACTTCCAATGGAGGGTTCTACCGTTTGGAATATCGTTGGCCCCCTGGTTGTTTACTCGAGTGACCAAGCCCATCGTCACGTATCTACATCGTCTAGGTCTACGCATCTTGAATTCCTAGGAATACGACTCATCACGCTGCTGAATCGCATAGTCGTCCCAGAGGATCATTTTGTCAAGATGCAACATATGATATCTCAAGCAATGCTCTCTCCGTTGACACTCCGTGCTTGGCAAAGCATGCTCGGCCTACTCACCTCAGCTCAAGACATGATGCGCAGAGGGAGATTACAGCTGCGCCCACTACAAATATTTGTGAACGCCCATCTCGACAGTTTGGATCCACTGATACTACCGGACAACCTGAAATCATACCTCCTATGGTGGACTCAGAAGTCGAATGTTTGCGGAGGAACCTTTTTGTCAGAGCCGGTTTGCAACAATCATCTCTACGTGGTTGCATCGCTACAAGGATGGGGTGCTCACCTCGACAACTATGTGGTAGCAGGAAAGTGGTCGAGTCAGGATCAACTTCTGCACATGAACCTGTTGGAGATCAAAGCAGTGATCAACGCTTTGCAACACTGGTCAAGCATTCTAAGGAACTCAAAGCTCACGGTCCACACGGACAACTCCACAGTAGCGTTCTACATCAACAAACAAGGATCAACAAGATCAACAAGTCTGCTAAAGCTCAGCTTTCTCCTGTTCAGCATCGTCGACGACCTGAACATATACATGAAAACATGTCACATTCCAGGAGCAAAGAATGTCATAGCAGACGCCCTATCTCGTCCACTACAACCATCCCCGACGGAATGGATGTTACATCCAGAAGTATTCCGGTTTGTCATACAGACAGTAGGATTTTCTGCTGATAGACCTGTTTGCAACAAAGTTCAACAAAGAACTACCAACATTCGTCTCACCGATACCTGATCCTCAGGCATGGGCAACAGATGCTCTAAACATCTCATGGGAAGGACCAAACGCTTATGCGTTTCCACCTCCAGCACTATTACCTCAAGTAATACAGAAAATCAAGCAGACGACAACGTTGCAACTGATTTTGATCGCAGCCTATTGGCCAGCGAGGGTATGGTTTCCCGTCCTCATATAAGAACTCGGAAGTCCAACCCTGAAACTACCAGAGTGGTTGAACCTGCTCGTCCATCCACACACCAAGCAAGCTCACGGGAATCAAGCATTGTTCTAGCTACACGCATTGGAGCGTATCAAAGAGGGTACTCCGCCAGAGCAGCGAAAGCAGTAACACTAACTCACAACTTGTACGACGACAAGTGGCAGAAATTTGAACAGTATGCAACGAGGAAAGGCTTTACAGTGGTAAAAGCAACCCATCCTCAAGTTGCGGTTTACTTGTGTCATTTGCGACAGACGAGACACTTAAAGGTTCAACACACTCAACATACCTGGCTGCTCTCAGCACAGTTTTCACCATGAAGACGGGTGTCAAGTTGACCAAAGTACCAGAGATACTGGCACTCCTACGCTCGTTCAAGTTGGAAGACCAACAAAAGAAATTCAAGGCTCCTGCCTGGGATCTCAACGTAGTTCTACAACATCTCACCAGTGATGCCTACGAGCTTCTAGAATGGACATCCTTCGAACTACTGACACAGAAAACGCTGTTTCTGATCGCCCTAGCAACAGCAGCACGGATGTCAGAAATACATGCTCTGGACTTCGAACGAACACGATTTGAATCAAAACGTCGTGACATCGTACATCTTGGACTGAGATGGGACTTTATTGCCAAGAACCAACTGCCCGGCCAGCCTGACAGACAGTTCCACATCCCAGCACTCTCTACAGTCCTTGGGCCACAGGATACACAGTATTTATCCTTATGCCCTGTCAGAGCATTGAAAGTCTACCTACAAAGGACAAAAATAAGGAGATGAAATTCAAGCACCTATTCATCCCCTTATCCACTGAGACGCCCATGGAAGTCTCACAGACAACTATATCAGTATGGATGAGAGCCGTCATACTAAGGGCCTACAAAGCAGCAGGACTTGAGCCTCCACGAGCCTCCAATCCCAACGAGGTCAGAGCCTTGGCGTCTACACTTGCTCTGCATGGAAACTGCTCAATTACAACAATAATGGAGGGCTGCTTTTGGAAATCGGACATGGTGTTTGCCACTTGTTGTAGCACAACAACTAATGGTTCCACAAAAGCGCTGAGAAAATCTCACCCTTTTATCAAGTGACTCGTGAAAACCCACACTCTGGAGAACAAATGGTTAAGTCCATGCACACGTCTAGGACAGACTAGCATGAGTGATAGACCCTGTACTTGTATAGGACTTACTCGTACATGAAGAAGGGTAGTCTGTCGTACAGACCCTGAAGAAAATATATCCAAGAAAGCCCACGCAAGTCTAGAAACTGTGGCAAGTCTAGATTTCCTCAGCTTCAGGCTGAAAATGAAGAAAGTCTGAGGGCTCCTATTCAGTATATATTTTTTTTTTACTATGCACTTTTTTCAGTAAAATATGTTCATTTCAGAGACTAGTTGTTAGTCTAGAAGAAGGGTTGCATCTCCACTTGATGCACGCATCAAGAGATGGAGTTGCAATAGATAACTGATGGAACATTAGTATATCTAAAATCCACACGAAAATGTCAGGAGAAGTTTTGGAAGAAATCTGACAAGTTGTGGTTCCCCACAGACTCATCAGATGGAAGTTGGAAGAATAGAATCATCAGCAGTGCCGTCATAAGTTCCCATGGGGGGTAATACAGGACGTAAAACAGCAGCCAGTGAATCCAGGAAGTGGCCTGACCCACCACCGTTTCCGACGGATTCTGCAAGTATTTTGCATGAGTCAGGATAAGGAAAAATAAGTAATTTTCTGATTAAAATTGATATTTTGTACTTATCCTGACTCATGAGGTCAGCCCTCCCAACCTCCCCTCTCAGGGCACTCTGGATTTCCCTGTAAATCCGGGTATCGGGCATACAATCGGAAAGAGTGACAAACATGGCTGGTCATGTGAACAGAAAGGGCGCCAAAGAGGCAAGGGAGACTACTCATGGGTGAGTGATGATGTTACGTCCGCTTTTTTAGAAGGGAACTTCAAGGGATTTCAAGTGTTCCACTATCATTTGCAAGAAGAAGGAGACAAGCATTTAGCATGAGTCAGGATAAATATAAAATATCAATTTTAATCAGAAAATTACATAAACTGTAACATTTGGTAATTATTTCAGTTACAGGAACTATATTTTTCTTGTCAAGAATTCAGCAAAATGAATACTGTAAAGTTTTCAAGGTACTAAAAGTTCGAGGTTTGAGACCCCCAGAACTTTCAAGGTGATTTAAATTTCGAGGTTTGGGGACCTAAAATATATAAATAATTCAGACAATTTTAATTTCGAGGTTAGATCTAGAAGAAAGTGGCCAGAAACATCACTTACCCGACCAATACTCACTGAGCTATCGGCAAAACTCCTAGTAGCCAGTGACAACTGCCGTCTGACTGTTATATTACTTATAACTACCGGTATACCAGTCCATGGCAGTAATTATTATAATAGTAATGAAAACAAATGTTTGATCCTTTGTTGTGATAAATGACCCATGAAACACTCTGTCGGCAGAGTTCAAACATGACGCCATTTTTTCTCAGACAATATTGTTTTCTTAACAACTAACTATAAGTATGTATGCATGGGTCTCTGCTGAAACTATGTTGTTGTTAGAAAGCTGAGAAGTTGACCTCTTTAGCGAAATTGTAACCATGCAGAAGATCAAATGGTTGGTATTTGTTTACGATAGTTTATGTACATGTAAGTAATTAAATAGTTTCGACACCTCATTTCTGTTGTTTGTTTATTCAGGCCGTTCAGGGTCACTGAACGTTAAGATTAGTTGTAGACAGGCATTACAGAGTTAATGCGCATGTCAGGAAGTCATTGGTTGCCAGCAGTTGAAATGCTGATCGATAGGAAATCTAACCCAAAGGTTTGAAGTTTGGAAACATTCATGGATATAATATTTTCGAGGTTACGTGTCTAACCTCGAAAATTAGATACCCCGAAAATTTCGCATTATACGGTATTTTTGTGCATCATGGATGTCTGTGTAAAACTGAAATACCAAGATTAACACAAATCGGTTCATACAAAGCAAAATTGTAAAATCTGTGACCACACAAGATCAATGAATAATCAATGAATTATGTTCAAACAAACTGTTTTGGATTTACAATTTCAATGGCAGCAATAGTATGTGACAGGCCCAAGAATTAGTGATTGTGCTCCCATGAAAGTCGAGACATTGTTGGTATCAAATGTCACTGAAGAGGCTCGTGGTTCATTCTTGAAGAACTGGCAGGAAGTAATAATGGACATTTATAAAGTGCCTGTATCCACAAGCTTGTGCATGCTGAAGTCCTTGATCTCAGAAAAGAATCCAGTCCATAACTCGCAAATAAATAAGTCCTTGTGTTACTCTGGTGTGCAACCAACCTTTTAGAAAAACTTCACTTATCTTCTCCAATGATCATGTCTGCCATGTTTGTCAACAACCAAGGGAGGTAACTTACATTTACAATTCCTGTTACAATCTTTTCACTATTATATTTATTACAATTCTGTTACAATCTGAACACTTCAGCATGCCATTGTTTTACCATCACTGCAGTCATCTGCTGCTACTTACAATCACGACAATCTCTACTGCAGGGGTGGAAATAACCCATTGCCCGACGCCCCAGTCCAGTGTTAGTTTCTGTCGGGGTAGCAAATGTGTATGTCACTCTGTACCGGTGTCCAGTTGATTTTCCAATGTTAATTATGTTTATTAAAAAAGTCAACAGGAAAATCGGCCAGTTTAGTGGAAAAATTATCAGGGCAAGTGATTTTACATGTGCCACTGTACTGGAGTACATTAGCAATTTAAAAGTTATTTCCACCCCTGCTACTGTCTCATGGCATATGAAAGAATATTACGTTTGTGTTTGTGCAGGGGAAACGATGAGATGAAGAATGGTGCTGGTTCTATCTTTGCCACGGTTGGAACTGGTTACCGCCATACACTCATTTCAAGTAAGTCCAACAGATGCTTTCCTTGTATGTGGGGCAGAGGGGTAACCTCGTGGTTAAAGCGTTTGCTCGTTACGCCAAAGACCTGGGTTTAATTCCCCACATGGTTACAATGTGTGATGCCTATTTCTGGTGTCCCCTGTTGGGATATTGCTGGAATGTTGCTAAAAGTGGCATATAATCAAACTCACTCACTCCTTGTTTGTAATCTCATTCTCCTTGGGAGGGGAAAAGTATCAAGTGTACTGATAGACATAGTACTTAAATTTAGAAGGTTCATTAAAGTTCATAAAATTGAACACTGAGATTGTTCTTTGTGTTGGTGATTTTGAAAACATAAATCGAAATATGCAAGGTAACTGTTTAGTATCATAATTTGATATCAAAATAGACTACATTTTCATGAGAACAGTGCAGGGAAAGAAACCTTTCAAATTTCCCGCTTGACCTCAGGACCAGTGAGTGGACAATAATTAGTTCATAAAATTGAACACTGAGATTGTTCTTTGTATTGGTGATTTTGAAAACATAAATCTAAATATGCAAGGTAACTGTTTAGTATCATAATTTGATATCAAATTGGACTACATTTTCATGAGAACAGTGCAGGGAAAGAAACCTTTCAAATTTCCTGCTTGACCACAGGAGCAGTGAGTGGACAATAATTAGTGGTCCTGTCTGTACTTCACTGGTCCAAAATAACATTCGTAGATTTACTTAACTATCAATACAAAATTCACTGGCCACCAGGACCACTGCAAACTTATCATTTAGTGGTCCTGATGAATTTTTACTAGCCAGGGACCACAGGACCAGCGTAAATTTGCACACTGACAGTGAGGTGATCAATTGTCTTAGATGTCACAGCAATAGCAGAGATGTGTCCCATAAGTGGCATGTCACATTCCACCACCACACAAACCAGTTGCTGACAGGGCACAGTTAACTGGATGGATGGATGGATGGATGGATGGACTTCTTCATGTACATCAGATAAAAGTTTCTGTGTACAATTTGACTTTTAATGAGAACCGGGAGGTGATCCAACACCGTTAGATTTCTATTACAGAGTTATGTGCTTTATGTGGAAGGCACCAGTCAGCCACACCTGTAGGGTTTCTGTTTTTCCAGCACCAATCCAGGCAGTTTGTTGGTACAGCACAGTGTGGACTAACTGATTTTGTATGGGACTTTGTGTTGTACTTCAGATAGAGTCACTACTTATACCCTGACCAAGTTTGACAGTATTGAAAGCAGCTCATCCACTGTGCTTCGTAAGAACGTCATTGGGTTCGGAGTACAAGGATCCTTCCTCTATGCTTCTGTGTACATGGATGATAACCCAACTCAGGTAGGTGATATCATGTTATCAGGGAGTTGGTATATGTGTACAGCCAAAGCTCTTTGCCCCCAAACCATGATATCTTGTAAATGCCATTCAGGTAGGCGATATCATGTTATCAGGGAGTTGGTATATGTGTACAGCCAAAGCTCTTTGCCCCAAAACCATGATATCTTGTAAATGCCATTCAGGTAGGTGATGTCATGTTTTTAAGTATTTGATGTATATGTACAGCCAAAGCTCTTTACTCCAAAACCATGGTATCTTGATAATGCAAGTGTAACAGTGTTATCAGTGCTTATGGTAAAATCTGTTTACAAAGAAGCCAGCCTCTACGATTTTATCGTAGTCGCTACAAATTTTAGCCTGAAACTACCCCAATACGATTGCACTAGAAATTCTTCAAAATTTGAAGAAAATTCATTCAAATTCGCATATATTGACAAAAACATATATTTTTTGTCTATTAAATACATTTTTCGACTTCACTTACCTTCCATTTATCAGATTTAATGACCTATTTGAACTGGAATCATTGCAAGTAACAAACGTAAGTTTAGCGAAATTGTCTATCAGAAATCTGAAGCTGATTTCAATACTTTTTTTATTTTAAGTATATAGTTGACTACAAATTTTAGGTCAAGCTACTAATTTTGATCCTTGAAACTACTATTTGCAACACTTTGGGGTTGGCATCTCTGTGTCCAGTGTTGTCTTGCTGAACATTATGAATAGTTGCCTACAGATGTCCAGATGAGCTGCTGTCATTGTTGGAATGTTGTTGCAGACATCCAAGAAGTTGATGATGGTGTCAACTGATGCTGGGAGGTCTTGGAATGAAGCACAGTTACCTACCCTGGATGGAGATCGGGTCAGTGAAAGTTTTGCAGCAAGCAGAAACACTTAACATCTTAAAGTTGTCACCTGTTCCTGACTTCAGAGAAGAGTCTGATAATTAGGTGTCACTTGTAATGAATGAACTTCACAGGCCCCATCTGTGTCGTGGTTCATGAGTCCATGAGACTGGTATCCATGAACGGGTTAGAATTGGTCTTCAGCAACCCATGCTTGTCGTAAGAGGCGACTAACGGGATTGGGTGGTCAGACTCACTGACTTGGTTGACACATGTCATCATATCCAAATGGTGTAGACAGATGCTCATGCTGTTGATCACTGGATTGACTGGTCCAGACTCGATTATTTACAGACCGCCACAATATAGCTGGAATATTGCTGACTGCTCCATGAACAACAAACAAACAAAACATTACTCCAGACTGACCAGTTTTCAAGTCATAGCATTTGGACAGCCTAGTGAAACAGGAATGAGTAATATCCTGGTCTTTAAGCAGTGTGGTATCAAGCTTTATAAACCTCCAGTGACGTCACTCATTGTCTGGCCAGGTTCCCCTTTTACCAAGTAAACCTCTACAGGCAGCATTATTTTTTTTGATGTGAGCTCAGGACAACAGTATGCTGGCTGAGATTGCCCATAGGAATGTTAGTGTATTCCTTGAGAAGAGTACACCGATTTTAAAACCAAAATGGCATGTTTGCTTGTGATAATGATTCTGGTAATTGTTTTTGTATCGTTGACTATTGATTGTCTTGTTGCAGTTCTACTCAGTGCTAGACATGTCAGAGCATCTGATCTTCATGCATGTGGACAACCCTGGAGGTGATTTACTCTTTCAGTCTCACACCCCCACTGGCAGGCTAGGCTGTCATAACGAGATAAACATGTGTATTCAGATTTACTGCATTTACTCAGTGTGAGATCATGGACATTTTCGTTAGGAACTTGTCATAGATAAAATAGCTTCAAAATCTTTGACATTGTAATGACGAAAGTGTTCTGTCATTTCTAATGGCCACATCACACCAAAAGATTATAAAAGATAGGACTTTTAGTTTCCTGTCTTGAGCATGGCTTTGGGGGAATATAACATGGACTGGTCATCTTTGAGACAATATAAAATGGCTGAGTGGGGTATCCACATTATACTGCTGTATGTTGTCTTCGTGGTTGGCACTATTAAACTGGTATTAGTCTGAAGTAGCATAAGCATGCACATGCATGCACATAGCTAAATGGGTGCTGTAATCTTGAATGTGCTATGCAAACCCGTTTCACTGCATCTCACCGTTCTTTCTGCACACGGTGGGGTAGCCAAGAGATTAAAGCATTCGCTCTTCACACCGAAGATCCGGGTTTGATTCCCCACATGGGTAAAATGTAGAACGTACAATGAGCCCATTTTTCATGTCCCCCACCGTGATATTGCTGGAATATTGCTAAAAGCGGAGTATAATTCGCTCGCTCCCTCACTCACTCTCTCCACTCCACTCCACTCCGCTCACAAGAGCTGTGCTTAAAGTGCCACCTATTCCTACCTTCAGACACAGGGTCTGGCACACTATACACATCGGCCCAAGCAGGTGTGGTCTACGCCGAGTCACTTCTCCACCACCTCTACCCCAACTTCGATAGCGTGACCGACTTCTACAAGGTGGAGTCCATGAGGGGTGTGTACCTGGCTAGTCAGATCAACAAGGACAAGAGTATCCACACAATGATCACTTTCAACAGAGGGGCCAACTGGCAGCCTATTGTCCCACCACAGGAAGACTGCAAGGATCATAGTAAGGTGAGGAGATTAGTCTAGCACACATTAAACAGTGTTTCTGGTGCTTCATGGCTGGACAGCTTGATGGGAAGGGAAGACAAAGGTCAAGTCATAGACACTAGTGTTGGGAATTGGTTGAAATCTCCCAACTGATGATCAGTTGATTACCAATGAGCACTTTTCAGATTTTCCTATTCTGGTTGTTTCTCTGTTGTTTTTGTTTTATTTAGAAACTGCACAAATTGCTTTTGCAAACTTCACATCACATGTAAAATGATGCAGTTTGCTACTTTAAAGTGATGACTGATATATCATGAACATAAACTTCCTGGATTCTTCAAGAAATATTCAGTCATGTCTTTTCAGTAAGTAAAGTGAGTTTTCTAAGAATTAAACACGATTTCAGGATCTGACAACTTCGAAGATATGTTCCATCGTCGAAAGTGTTTCAAACACTAAAACGGTAGTTCCAAAATTGTTGGTGTTCGATTAAGAGAAAATGTGATCGATTGCTTGGTCGTTGGTCACTGCGACCAATCTTCGATTGTTTTAGTTAATCGCAACACCACTACTAGACACCCACCTCTTTGTTCACACCCATGAGTACTGGCACAGTGCTGAGTGCTGGCAATCTCAGAGTCATAGGGTCGGAACCCCTGATCTGGGTGTCCGCCATGCCAATGGGACAAAAATAGATATATGGGTAGTCTGCCTCACAGTCTTTGAACGATTTTATTTCCCTTCCCACAACACCTTTACTATAATGCTGTAATTCTAAATGAAGCTTGTCAAAATGTTCCAACATTCCATTCTCTCATCTCACTTGGGCTGTTTTTCAATGGTTGTTGCTTTCAGAATTGTTTAAGTGTTAACTAAAAGTTTGGGTACAGTTGGAAATTATGTTCTCTGATACAAAACTTAATCCACATCAAATGAAATTGAAAAGGAAAACATTGGAGCTATGATCGATTAGACTGATCGTTTCACTATCAGCTTTGGAACAATATAGTTTTCTTCGTCTTTGCTTTTCAATAAGACATTTGTTATTTATATATCAGCATGGATATTGTTTTCAGTTTTAGTAATACTGAGTATGTATGCATTATAATAGTCATGGGACATAGGTAAAAGCATATATTATTGCATTTGGAACATTAATTGGTTTACCTGTGTGTAAAATCCATAATGTGGAGCTCCACATATTATTAAGAATCTTGCTGATATGTATACGTGTGTACAGCAATCCCATGCTGTGTTTGGATGGTGGGGTAGCCTAGTGGTTAAGGCATTGGCTCGTCACGCTGAAGACCCGAGTTTGATTCCCCCCATGGGTAAAATGTGTGAAGCCCATTTCTGATGTCCCCTGCCGTGATATTGCTGGAATATTGGTAAAGTTGCATAAAGCTAAACTCACTCACTCACCCATGCTGTGTTTCCAGGCTTGTCAGCTGCAAATCCACAACTACTACAGCATCTCTAGAGGAGTGCGGGCCAAGCCACCGCTCAGCACAGCTAATGCTCCTGGACTTGTTCTAGTACATGGTTAGTATCACCGTTCTGTTGTTTAGACCAGGCAGTAGGACTTTCAGAGACTAAACAAATCTGAGCTATAATTGCTTGGAATTTCACAACACAAGTAAAGATTGTATCACTCACCACTGACATGGCATTGAAAGTGTGTGTGACAGGAATATTAATGCCCACACAACCTCCCCAAAGACACACCCTGTCATCACCACCTCATCGATGTTATTGTTCATTTTTTATATGAATGCCAAAAACGTTAGAAAGCATCTTCTCTTCTTAGAAACAATGAAACAACTCAAGAAAATGGAGAGATTTTGTTTGTCATTATGTTTTCGCTGTAATCCCACATGTTGCCTGAGTGCTTTATATGTTCTGATAAATCTCCACTAGTACCCTGCGCGCGCACACACACAATAAGTTGAGGCACACACACTATGAAGTTATGGTGTATCTGATATCATTTGCAGACTTTTTTTAATAGAAATATCATTGATTGCTTTTGTATTCTTGGTTTATCAGCACAATTGTACCTATCAATGTCATACATTGACCACATGTACTGTACCTATAAACAAGTAAAAATGGTAAATAAAAAAACCAAACAAGTAAGCTGTTACAACTGAGCTTGTCAGTGTCCATAAAGATAGCGGCAGCAGCCACGAAGGTTTGATTGCTGTGCAACTCGGATTTAGGGAAAACATCATACAGACAAATTGACAGGTCTGAAACCTTAAAAAATATCAGCAAGAGCTCCTCCTACCTCATTCAGGGTACCTCTGCAACAATTGTGTTGCTAAGTTTAATCGGTTAGATAAAAGAAGCGAAAGTGAGTTATGATAGAAGAATTGTAATTGGTACATTTAACTTCCCAGCGTAGACACTTGATTGGATTAAAAGCCAGTAAAGGAAGATAATAAAATTATCAGTCCGAGCCGTAGATGCATCCAAGGTACTCGTTGAGAATTATCGGAACCTATACCCTGGAGATTATCGAGGATGGGGTCTTTGGGAGTAGTGAGGGAGCCTCACCATATGCTAATGCTAAACACTGGTGACTGCTAGACATTAGCTGATCATTACAAGCTCTATGCTCCCTTGTGAATTCGAGATTTGTACAGACCCTGAATCTAGACTTGCCACATATTCTAGACATGCACGGGCTGTATTCGGTGCAGTTTTTTCAGGGTGTGTTTGACAGACTATGGGGACTCAACATTGCCAGTCACAATTTACTCTTGGGTAGGGTTTCCCCTTGTTGGAATACTGATCATAGGAAAGACAACCAGCACAACACAGAGTTCCCTTGACGATATATCTTTTTAGTAGTAGATGGAACTACTATTTATGATATGCTTACAACCAATCACAGACATTGGGTTTTTTTCATAGTAGTTTCCCAATTGTCATCCACCGCAAGCTGGCCTGGTATGATATGGTTGTACTATTGCTGACTTTGGTAACTCTGCCACTTAGTGTAAACTGGTATTGCAGGTCATGCAGCTGATGCCCTCCAGGTAACATCGCCCAACGTCTACATCACCACTGATGGGGGGTACCACTGGAGGAAGGTCAGTGCAGATCACAGGCAGCTCTTAGTTTCCCGATGAGATGGGACCTTTTAATGATTGTAATGATTTCTTAATATTGATTGTAAGGTATCCCTCATGTTCATTGTGAGGTATTCCCCATGTTGATTGTAAGGTATTCCCTGTGTTGGGTGTGAGGTATTCCCCATGATGATTGTAAAGTAGTCACTATACTCATTGAAATGTATTCCTCATGCTGACAGTATGGTATTCGATATACAGATTGTAAGATATTCCCCATACTGATAGTAAGGTATTCCCCATACTGATAGTAAGGTATTCTCCATACTGATAGTAAGGTATTCCCTATACTGATAGTAAGGTATTCCCTATACTGATAGTAAGGTATTCCTTATACTGATAGTAAGGTATTCCCTGTACTGATAGTAAGGTATTCCCCATATTGATAGTAAGGTATTCCCTATACTGACAGTAAGGTATTCCCTAAACTGATAGTAAGGTATTCCCCATACTAATAGTAAGGTATTCCCTATACTGATAGTAAGGTATTACTTATCCTAATAGTAAGGTATTCCCCATACAGATAGTAAGGTATTACTTATCCTAATAGTAAGGTATTCCTTATACTGATAGTAGGGTATTCCCTATACTGATAGTAAGGTATTCCCTATACTGATAGTAAGGTATTCCTTATACTGATAGTAAGGTATTCCCTATACTGACAGTAAGGTATTCCCCATATTGATAGTAAGGTATTCCCTATACTGACAGTAAGGTATTCCCTATACTGATAGTAAGGTATTCCCCATACTGATAGTAAGGTATTCCCTGTACTGATAGTAAGGTATTCCCTATACTGATAGTAAGGTATTACTTATCCTAATAGTAAGGTATTCCCCATACAGATAGTAAGGTATTACTTATCCTAATAGTAAGGTATTCCTTATACTGATAGTAGGGTATTCCCCGGATTGACAGTAAGGTATTCCCCCTATTGATAGTAAGGTATTCCCTATACTGCTAGTAAGGTATTCCCCATATTGATAGTAAGGTATTCCCTATACTGCTAGTAAGGTATTCCCCATATTGATAGTAAGGTATTCCCTATACTGATAGTAAGGTATTCCCTATACTGATTGTAAGGTATTCCCCATATGGATTGTAAAGTATTCCCCATACTGATTGTAAGATATTCCCCATATTGATAGTAAGGTATTCCCCATAACGATTGTAAAGTATTCCCCATACTGATTGTAAGGTATTCCCTATACTGATAGTAAGGTATTCCCCATATGGATTGTAAATTATTCCCCATACTGACAGTAAGGTATTCCCTATACTGATAGTAAGGTATTCCCTATACTGATTGTAAGGTATTCCCCATATGGATTGTAAAGTAATCCCCATACTGATTGTAAGATATTCCCCATATTGATAGTAAGGTGTTCCCCATATGGATTGTAAAGTATTCCCCATACTGATTGTAAGGTATTCCCCATATGGATTGTAATGTATTTCCCATACTGATTGTATTGTGGTCCACAGGTTCTAGACGGCCCCCACTACTACCAGATAACAGATAGCGGTGGGTTGCTGGTGGCTGTCTCCACCAATGAGACTATGCCCAAACACATCAAGTTCTCAACGGACGAGGGCAACTGCTGGCATGACTACAAGTTCACCGACAACGACATCATCTTCACTGGGCTCCTGACAGAACCTGGTGGCCGCTCCATGACTATCTCTGTCTGGGGCTACACCAACGATAGACACAGGCAGTGGGTGGTCAATGTCATCAACTTTGCGGATGTCATCACTAAAAAATGTGAGAAGATTGCTAAATTCAGTACTTCATTACTGACACATTCAGACCTTTGAGACATTAACCATGAACTTCTTTATAATCAGACCTACTGCAAGTATATTGTTTGCTGTTTTGGGAAACAAATAAACTTTCTAGTTTTGTTGACAGACCTACTCTAAATTTGTCATAAATGTTAAAAAGAATTATTGTATTTCAAAAAGATTCCCTAATACTGATCTGTTTATGAACATTGCATGTGACCTGTCAAGGTTAACCAGATAGTGGTTGTAATTCCACCCATTCTTGCCTTTATCAAAGTACAAATTCAAAATTCAATCTTTAGTGCATTTGTCAAAGTATGAACGAAAGTTTTCAAAACCTTTTGGCTTATCAGGATTTGGAGATGTTCAGAAAACAAATTTTTCATAATATCGTAATTAATCCTAAGGGACCGTTCATAATATATGGCTGGTTGGGGTGATGATTTTAAGGGAGGGTCACCCATTTTGTTTTTGGGAGGTAGGGGTTCATTAATTTTGTACACATGTATTGGGAGGGGCGGATGGGGGTTGTCAGCAATTCTGTATATAAAAATATCAAAATATTATGCTTAATAACTATGGGAAAGGGGTGGGGTCATTGATTATGTACATGACATGCTGGGGGTTCTCTTGCTTTGTACATAAATTCTAGGGGGTGTCATTCACATTGTACATGACTCACCATAAAAAAATCATCACCCCCTCAGCTATAAATTATGAACAGTCCCTAACTGAGCTGACTGACATGCAGGTACTGACGTAGACTATGAGGTATGGGAACCCCATCACGAGATGAGACGTTTTGAGAACAAGGGGGTGGAAGGCTGTCTCCTGGGACTCAGAGAATCCTTCAAGAAGCTGAAGCCAGATTCCTGGTAAGTTTGGAAACTGCCACATGGTGTGGTTTTGTGTAGGTTCCTAACTAAGTGTCCTGGGGAAAGACATTATTTCCCAAACTGGATTATCTTAAACATTCTAGAAGTCCTAATTCAGGGATATGTTGATATTTCATTCACTGTGAAAATTTGAATCGATGTATATAAGACTTGTCCTGTTGTTTGGTCTTATTATTGAAATCCAAGTGACCTCTTCTAAGTGGTATCATACTGGTAAGTTATTTCTGTAACAACAGGACAACTGGATTTGTCAGGTGCATCAAGGTTATTACTGGATGCAAGTACGTTTCAATTCCTTAAATCAAGCCCTTTCATGTCAAATACTATTTGGCCTTGTTTTCCATTTTTCAGGTGTCAAAATGGATATGAATATAAATCAAGCCTTGTCATGTCAAATACTATTGGGCCTTGTTTTCTGTTTTTCAGGTGTCAAAATGGATATGAACACGACGTTGAGAGAACTATCATGTCATGTACCTGTACGAGAGAAGATTTTGAATGGTAAGTGTCTATGCTCAATTTGAACCTGAAATACCAACGACACTTTCACCTACCCACAATACTTCTGTTTACTACCGCCTCCGTGGTGCAGTGGTTAGAGCCTGTAGAGCGGAAGGTCGGGACTTCAATCCCCGGCTCAACCAAAAGACGTTTAAATATGGTACTTGTTGGTCCCTGCCTGGCGCTCGGCATTCATTTGGTACAACAATGACTGGTCAGTTCGGGGTCAGTATAATGTGTCTGAGTTGGGTATTCATGCTTAACTGCGGCATGGTATCTCAGTGAGCTAGCACTATAAAACCAGCTTCAGTCTGGGCTAGTACAAGCAACCACACATACACACACATGCACATCATCATATGAGCGAAATATTCTTAAGTACGACGTTATACCCTATTTCACCTCACCTCATCTCCCCTTTACTGCATCATAAAGATCTTGACCAAACATTACATTGCAGATAGCATTGTTAAGCCACACCAGAATATCAACCTTATCCACTTTTGGTTGCTTCCAGGTCAAGGTCACTGGAGAAACATTATGAAACATTACTCAAATTTCAGGACATTTCGATTAATCCATGAAAATGAAAAATCAGTTTTCCAGGTCTGCTGAGATAAACTCTCAGAAAAAAGCTTTTTCGAAAGTTGTTCGATATGTCAAGGCCATAGCAAATGTCAAGATCTTTACACACATTGAAAAACTTTCAAAGAGTATAATTCAGAGTGTATTTATAGTAATCTACACTGCATGGTTTTTACAACATACATATCTATGCATTCAATTTGAATATTTCTGATTAAAGGTCAAGGCTGTTTGACCTGAAGGGCTTTCCAAGATATTTTTATGGATTAAACTTCTTTTTAATTGCTCTCACGACGTTTCGAGACCATTCCAGCTCCCTTCATCAGGTGAACTGATCGACAATAAAAGACAAAGACTTAACATCCCTCATAAGAAGGGCTTTAAGAAGGGCTTTTTTTCTGAAGGGCTTTGTTAGAAGGATAGCTAGAGAAAAGTACTTTCTATTTCTGTGTTGTACTGCATTGGGCATGTCTTCCTACAAATAAGTCAGTGATGTCATGAAACCTAATACGCTTTTAAAAGTATTATTAGGACAGCTAATCATGAACTGTCTGCTTAAATATTGCAGGTTCTACCTAAAATATTGAGGTCCATGGGGACCCCAACAATACATTTCAAGGCAACAATCTGGGAAAAAAAAGAGAATTTTTCTAGCAAACCGTGTGTTTTATATTGATGGTAGTGCTGGGGATCAGGTTTTTTAACATACAGTTGAAGCTGTCAAAACCGGCAGCTGTCCAATCCGGCAAGTTGTCAACACTGGCATAAAATCTCGGTCCCGTCCGGACTAGTACATTTATCATCATTTAAAGTCTCTGCCATCCAGCAGCTGTCAATTCCGGATCTCGGCATGAAATGAGCTGCCCGAATATGTGTTCATACAGTAATCAGCGTTATCTAATCCAGCGCGTGGCGAGGAGTCGGACAGATGCGTATTGTCACCAATTAATCCTGCTTTGAAACTACATGGCTGCCGACAAAGATACTTTTACCCTAGTTCAGTATAGGTATACTTGTACATGTAATTAGTGCAAATTGTCACTTATGAGGGATGTTAAGTCTTTGTCTTTTATTGTCGATGTGTGCAGAAACTGAGAGAACCAAGTGATACAACAATGTATATGAGACTGACAAAATGGGTTCAGTTCTAGTCATAGGTAACCGTGTCATCTCTACAATCCGGCACGCTGTCTAAACCGGATTATTTCTTCAGTCCCGACGAGTGCCGGTTTAGACAGCTTCCGCTGTAGTGGGAAATTTTTCTATCCATCAAAGTCCCTGATTTGATAAGCAAGATTAATGCACTGTCTATCATATGCTGCAATGTATGTGAAATCTTTGCCAACCCAGACTCTCCTTCCTGTATATACCTTCTTATCTTACATCAAATATAAATGTCGCTTTCTGATTGGCTGAGCGCTCTTCTATTATTTTCAATGTACCCCGCTTACAAGCGAGTAACATTTCAATGTACCCCGCTGTCAATGACAACTCATTTGGTACTTCATGGTAGTAATTCTTTATCTCGAATAACATTGAATCACGCATGATGTACGGTAATTACCGATGCTTTGTGAATGCAAATCGATGGAAGGGAGATAACTCTAAATCTGTTTTTCTTGTCAGCAAAATCTAGCCATGGCTACAAAAAGATTTGTACCCTTCGGGCTCAGGGAACATAAACAAACATCGAGGGTACATCAACTCATGGCCCCTCGTGACCAGTGAACAACTTAGAATGTACAACTTCTTGGGCACATTGTACGCTTTTTGTACACCTTGCAGTAGTTTCCAAATATTTTTCTAGCCAGTCAGGCTAGCTATGCCTGAAAGTTAATAATCCAGAAAATAATTCACAAGCCCAAAATTTGAATTTAGAAGCTTAAGCAAAAGATTACAAAAATAGGTGAGAATAAGATATTTTCAGCATCACACGGGTTTCATAATTAAGCTGCTAATATGATGAACAGTTTTATCAGGCCATAATCTTGCACGATTAAAAGGTGGTATCACTTAGCAAGTCGGAGAGTGTGATATATTTACAAAATGACCCCATGAAAATTCACTAGCCAGTCGGGCCAGTGACTGTGGAGATTTACTTGCATGACTGGATTTTTACTAGCCACAGGCTAGCGGGCCAGTAGCTATTTTGCACACTGCTCGCATACATTTTCTTTTTGTTTCGTGTACCCATGCTATTGTACACCTCCATTTACACCTGTTTTTACACTGTCATGTGGCTATTTCAGTGACTACAGTTTCTACCGTCCGCCTTCAACTGATGACTGCGTCAAGCAGTCAGACTTCACAGGAAAGGAGATTGATATTTGTCTCCGGGGACATGAAGAAGAAGTAATTACTGAAGGGTGAGATTCTGACCATTAATGTTCCTGTTCAGCAAATGAAGCCCAGATGTTTTATAGAAGTGATGTAGGTGATGTTTGACCTTGAAATGGCTCTGTGTATTGGTAGTACACTCGCGTAACCTTGATTCGTGGATATAAGGGAAGTGCGGCGAAATTCATATTTTAAATGGATGATTTCCTTTTGTATACTGCACTTATTATTTTATTCATTGATTCAGCAAATTGAAAATGACTAATATTCCACTCGTGAATGAAACGTTTGTTTACGGAAGCCATTTGCAATCATCACCCATTCGTGTGCCCACAAAATGTGATGTCACCTTGTTTCGTGGATTACGTAGTCGGTTACTTTATACCACTATGTACAACAGCCCACTGCAGTAAGCATTGCCACCAAGGAAAGCAGACTACGAGAAGTGAGAAGGTTGGAGCTAACGGTATCTTTTTTACTTGACGTTTTGTAAAAATAAAATTTGGTAATAGTGGTATTATTGATCTGGGGCTATTTATCTCAATGCCGGACAATTATATTTAGTGTACTTCCGTGTAATGCAGAGATTCGAAAATGTTTTGTCAGCGAGGCGTGGCATTGTATGTACATCAAAAGTACCGCTTTGTGACTTCAGTCGAGACTTAATTTACAAGCTAGCATGATAATTTCCGCGATCCACGAATCAAGGTTATCCACGAATTTAGGTTGCAGTTCTGTATAACTGGAATATTGTCTTGTAGATGGGACTATATAAATGTTACATGGCTGTAATACAGCTGAAATACCTGTATTGCTTTGATACAGCTCTGATATGGCTGTACTTATAGTGGTACATGCCTTTGATACAGCTGTTGTATTGATGATGTAACTAAGATACAGCTGTGAGCATGTGGTATACACTTAATATTGATGTGATATCTGTGCTATTGATGTGATACAGCTGTGATGTGGCTGTACTTATAGTGATACATGCCTTTGATACAGCTGTTGTATTGATGATGTAACTAAGATACAGCTGTGAGCATGTGGTATACCCTTAATATTGATGTGATATCTGTGCTATTGATGTGATACAGCTGTGATGTGGCTGTACTTATAGTGGTACATGCCTTTGATACAGCTGTTGTATTGATGATGTAACTAAGATACAGCTGTGAGCATGTGGTATACACGTAATATTGATGTGATAGCTGTGCTATTGATGTGATACAGCTGTGATGTGGCTGTACTTATAGTGGTACATGCCTTTGATACAGCTGTTGTATTGATGATGTAACTAAGATACAGCTGTGAGCATGTGGTATACACGCATATTGATGTGATAGCTGTGCTGTTGATGTGATACAGCTGTGATGTGGCTGTACTTATAGTGGTACATGCCTTTGATACAGCTGTTGTATTGATGATGTAACTAAGATACAGCTGTGAGCATGTGGTATACCCTTAATATTGATGTGATATCTGTGCTATTGATGTGATACAGCTGTGATGTGGCTGTATTCTATAGTGATACATGCCTTGATACAGCTGTTGCATTGATGATGTAACTAAGATACAGCTGTGAGCATGTGGTATACCCTTAATATTGATGTGATATCTGTGCTATTGATGTGATACAGCTGTGATGTGGCTGTACTTATAGTGGTACATGCCTTTGATACAGCTGTTGTATTGATGATGTAACTAAGATACAGCTGTGAGCATGTGGTATACACGTAATATTGATGTGATATCTGTGCTATTGATGTGATACAGCTGTGATGTGGCTGTACTTATAGTGGTACATGCCTTTGATACAGCTGTTGTATTGATGATGTAACTAAGATACAGCTGTGAGCATGTGGTATACACGTAATATTGATGTGATATCTGTGCTATTGATGTGATACAGCTGTGATGTGGTTGTGATAAATATGATACACTTATGATACTGGTAACTGCTGTGATATGGATGTGATATTGATGGTGTAGTTGTGATATGGATGTGATATTGATGGTAGATCTGTGATATAGATGTGATATCGATGGTATAGCTATGATACAGCTGTCATATGGATGTGATATTGATGGTAGAACTGTGATATGGATGTGATATTGATGATATAGCTGTGAAATGGATGTGATATTGATGGTGTAGTTGTTATATGGATGTGATATTGATGGTGTAGTTGTGATATGGATGTGATATTGATGGTGTAGCTGTGATATGGATGTGATATTGATGGTATAGCTGTGATATGGATGTGATATTGATGGTGTAGTTGTGATATGGATGTGATATTGATGGTAGAACTGTGATATGGATGTGATATTGATGGTATAGCTGTGAAATGGATGTGATATTGATGGTGTAGCTGTGATATGGATGTGATATTGATGGTGTAGTTGTGATATGGATGTGATATTGATGGTAGAACTGTGATATGGATGTGATATTGATGGTATAGTTGTGATATGGATGTGATATTGATGGTGTAGCTTGGATCTAAATGTGATATTGATGGTGTAGTTGTGATATGGATGTGATAGATGGTGTAGCTGTGATATGGATGTGATATTGATGGTAGAACTGTGATATGGATGTGATATTGATGGTGTAGTTGTGATATGGATGTGATATTGATGGTAGAACTTTGATATGGATGTGATATTGATGGTAGAACTTTGATATGGATGTGATATTGATGGTAGAGCTGGGATCTTAATGTGATATTGATGGTGTAGTTGTGATATAGATGTGATATTGATAGTATAGCTGTGATATGGATGTGATATTGATGGTATAGTTGTGATATGGATGTGATATTGATGGTAGAGCTGGGATCTTAATGTGATTTTGAAGGTATAGCTGATATCTGGATGTGATATTGATGGTATAGCTATGATACAGATGTGATTTTGAAGGTATTGCTGAGATCTGAATGTGATATTGATGGTATAGCTGTGATATGGATGTGATATTGATGGTATAGTTGTGATATGGATGTGATATTGATGGTATAGTTGTGATATGGATGTGATATTGATGGTGTAGCTGTGATATGGATGTGACTTTGATGGTAGAACTTTGATATGGATGTGATATTGATGGTAGAACTTTGATATGGATGTGATATTGATGGTAGAGCTGGGATCTTAATGTGATATTGATGGTGTAGTTGTGATATAGATGTGATATTGATGGTATAGCTGTGATATGGATGTGATATTGATGGTACAGTTGTGATATGGATGCGATATTGATGGTAGAGCTGGGATCTTAATGTGATTTTGAAGGTATAGCTGATATCTGGATGTGATATTGATGGTATAGCTATGATACAGATGTGATTTTGAAGGTATTGCTGAGATCTGAATGTGATATTGATGGTATAGCTGTGATATGGATGTGATATTGATGGTATAGTTGTGATATGGATGTGATATGGATGTGATATTGATGGTATATTGATGGTATAGCTGTGATATGGATGTGATTTTGATGGTATAGCTGAGATCTGAATGTGATATTGATGGTACAGCTGTGGTATGGATGTGATTTTGATGCTATAGCTGTGATATGGATGTGATATTGATGCTATAGCTGTGATACAGCAGTGATATGACTGATATTGATGGTATAGCTGTGATACAGCAGTGATATGACTGATATTGATGTTATAGCTGTGATACAGCAGTGATATGACTGATATTGATGCTATAGCTGTGATACAGCAGTGATATGACTGATATTGATGCTATAGCTGTGATACAGCAGTGATATGACTGATAGTGATGCTATAGCTGTGATACAGCATATTGACGTGATATGACTGATATTGATGCTATAGCTGTGATACAGCAGTGATATGACTGATATTGATGGTATAGCTGTGATACAGCAGTGATATGACTGATATTGATGGTATAGCTGTGATACAGCAGTGATATGACTGATATTGATGGTATAGCTGTGATACAGCCGTGATATGACTGATATTTTGTCGATATTGCTGTGATACAGCAGTGATATGACTGATATTGATGCTATAGCTGTGATACAGCAGTGGTATGACTGATATTGATGCTATAGCTGTGATACAGCAGTGATATGACTGATATTGACGATATTGCTGTAACTCTCTTCAATCCACCCTTCCGATTTCTACACAACAGATATAGGAAGATTCCTGGAGATGGTTGCAAAGATGGTATATCTTTCACTGGAAATAAAATCAACATGACAGACAAATGCAATATAGGATCCAAGGAATTGATCTTTGAAATGGAAGAACCTCTACAAGTAAGATATAATGTGTACTGGTTATGTTAACAATACAGGGCCGTGTTTTCAAAGTAACCTCAGCTCAATGGTGATCATAAGGCTTTGTTAAAGTATGGGAGTTATGATCACCGTACAGCTCAGATTGCATATTGGAATGGGGCCCTGGCTTTAACACTGTGCAGGTTTTTCATATGTTAAATGAATCATATTTCAAGGGAATATGATGTGTGACCAAGTTGCATCATCATTGCTCTTCAACCCACTATCGAGATTGGGTGGTCAGGCTCGTTGACTTGGTTGACACATGTCATGGCATCCCAACTGCATAGGTTGATGCTTATGATTTTGATCACTGGATTGTCTGATCCAGACTGGATTATTTACAGACTACCGCCATACAGCTGGAATATTGCTGAGTGTGTAGTTAAGCAATAAACGAACACAAGTAAAACAGGTTGAAGATATTTTTAATATACCCATCAAAAGTTTAGACTCACTTAAAGCACTCACTATACGTTACGAATATATATATGGTTACATCGAAGATATATTTCTCCACTAACTGGGGGAACCAACTGCAAAATTTATGTTAATGAATTGCACGAGTATCATGCATCAAATTGCTGAAAAGCATGTGCAAATATCGTGCATGTAAACAGCTGCGTTTTGGTGTAAAGTTTCGTTAAGAATTCGCCATTTCAATTTTTTATCATTTACTGAACTCATGACAATAATCTTTTCAATGTTACGAAGTGTTTTTACAATACATCAATTCATGTGTAAACAGCACCTTCAAACAATATGGAATATTTGGCAAAATCTAGTTTAGAACAGTTGACTGAAGTAAGTGGCTACATTTACACTTGTGAGTCTAAACTTTTGATGGGTAGTATAGGTTCGTAGGGCATTCTAAATGAGACAGGTATGTCATACCATACATTTGTTTACCTACACTTGGTCAATTTTTTGTTATTTTTTTATGAAGACCAGTCACTCCTGGTTTCCATGATGAATTTTTAAGAATTCCTCAGCAAATTTAAGTAAATTCTGCTTCACATTTTACAAAGTTCTGCAAAAACCTCTGCAGTTAAAAACCTGAAAAAACAACAACAAAATAATGAAATTTCAATCTTCAAAAAGATCGATTTTGTGAACATAATCAGATTTAAATAATATTATTGTAAGGTGCTTAAGAAAAGATTACCTCATGAATAAATCATCTATATTCATGAATATTTTGAAAATATTGTTATAACAAATGTCTCAGTTTGTTTTTGTGTAACCAATCATACTTTTGACATTTACCCCTACTTTTCGTTTCGGTTGATAGCCAATCTTGATTCAACTTTCAAAGTAAGTAAATTCCGCAGTAGGAAAATGGCAAATTCTGCAGGTATTCTGCATGGAAATGCATTTTCCACGGACCAGATATTTTTCTGCATCGATAGGTAATTTCCTCGATTTATTCTGCAACCGCGGAATCGCGGAATCCAGGAGGGACTGGAAGATGTGTCTTGTCCATACTTATTCACGTTTTGCCTGTCTGTGCCTTTACCAGTGACAACTAAAACAAATTCATTGACTGTTGTGTTGCAGGAAGCAAATCACTCTCTCATCCTTGGAGCTATAGTAACGGCAGTCATCGCACTCGTAGCCGCTGTCTCAGGCTACTTTCTATACAGAATGTATCTTCTTCGGAAACAGTAAGTAGCAAAACTTAGTTGCCATTTTTGTCCTCTGTTGAAACTTTGTATGTTTAATCCCAGCAATGCAAATCCAGGCTTACATGAAAATGTTCGGAAATCCTGTTGAAAATGTGGGGAGCTAGGGTAGCCTAGTGGTTAAAGCATTCGCTTGTCATGCTGAAAACCGGGTTTCGATCCCCCATGAGTACAATGTGTGAAGCCCATTTCTGGTGCCCACCCACAGTGATATTGCTGCATTAATCTAAACTTGGTCACTGTTATAAATGTGTCATTGCAAGTTTGTTCATGTACAGATTCATATATTTGCATTCAAGCAGAGAGATCTTTGTTTTGAAGAACATATTTTGAATTTTATGTATATATATATTCTTGTTTACCCTTGTTTGATCTTTTGAAGCTAATGTTCCTGAAAAACTCAAAATAGCTTTCTATCAATATTGGTGAAGGAAACATACACAGATTGCTCACAGAAATTCAATCCATTTTAAAACATTGCCTCCATACAAAATCATCAATATCACAACTACTCAGAGGGTGGTGGGGTAGGCTAGTGGTTAAAGCCCCAAAAACCCCTGTTGAATTCCCCACATGGGTACAATGCATGAAGCCCATTTCTGTGACATATTGTGGCGTAACACTATGGTCACTCACAGAGTATCAGATATGAATGTATGTATCATGTCTATTGATGTGTATTTATAATAATAATAATAATAGTGTATGTATAAAGCGCCTAATATCCACCGTGGAGATGCTCAGTGGCGCTGTGACAATACTGGGGAAGGAAATAGTTCATGTAGCTTCTACAGAAAGGCAGCAAAATGGCTGTTTGCTCGGAGACGAAAGCAATTGTGTGAAAGGTAATCTGTTCCCAAAAATGCTGGAGAAAAATTATCTACCAGCTTTTAAAGCTGGGGGTTTGTTTCAGGCAAAATAATGGTTTCTTGTTCACGATATCAGTCACTGGAATGTCTGGTCCAGACTAGAATATTGCTGACTGCTGCATTAAACATCAAACAAAATTGACAAACCTATCAATACCCCTAGTTTTTTCTTCCAACATTGTGTGATTGGGTAGGGTAGCCTATGGGTTAAAGCGTTTGCACATCACGTCGAAGACCCGGGTTTGATTCCCCACATGGGTATGATTTGTAAAGCCCATTTCTGGTGTCCCTGCCGTGATATTGCTGAAATATTGCTATTAGTGGCGTAAAACCATACTCAGTCATTCACTATTGTATTATGTGTAGGATAAGGCACGACTCGGAGGTTATGGTTGGGAAAGTAAGACCCGAGAGTGGGGAGAAGTAAGACCAAGAGCGCATAGCCGAGGAGGAGTGCTTTATTATACATACAAACCGTCAATGATGGATAATTAGATGATCATGTAATGAAGCTACATAACAGTAACTGAAGCGCTAGTAAAATCAATTTAATGACAGTAGACCTAACTGTAAATAGATAATCAACCCTGGCTTCTTTGTCGGCCCGGTGGCTGTGAGGTAGAGAGTCCGATTACTAACCTGAGAGATGCGGTTCGATTCATGCTAGGGAAAACATTTGCACATTAAAGTTGATCTTTGACGATATTTTTCAGTTGATTTCAAACACTCACATATCATCTGAATTTGAATGTTGATGTTAATGTAGAGTTAGGAAAAAGTAAAACTTGGAAGAGGTCTTACTTACAAAAAGTAAAACTGGGAAGAGGTCTTACTTACAAAAAGTAAAACTTGGAAGAGGTCTTACTTACAAAAAGTAAAACTTGGAAGAGGTCTTACTTACAAAAAGTAAAACTTGGAAGAGGTCTTACTTACAAAAAGTAAAACTGGGAAGAGGTCTTACTTACAAAAAGTAAAACTGGGAAGAGGTCTTACTTACAAAAAGTAAAACCTGGGAAGAGGTCTTACTTACAAAAAGTAAAACCTGGGAGCAAACAAAAACCTCAAATGCGGTTATACCGGGAAAAGAAGCCCTGTCTAATATATAGTGAGAAGCACCTTTCAGGTTTATATTGACACATATTTTATGACCATGTTTTTGTTACAGTAAAGTGGTATATCGGTACTCAATGCTGAATCAGACGGAAGGCGATGACTTTGCTAATGAGCTGGAGAATGCTCTGACACAACATACCTTATATGAAGATTCAGATGATGAGGTATGTCATTTGCCACTCTTTCAATTGTTAACATATGTTGGTTTCCATTATCTTGTAAGTATTGTAGAACTATTCGGATACATACAGTCTTTCCTTAGCCATTAGTGGAGGGATCTATCAAGGATCCAAACTAAAAACTGGCATATTTGATACTGTTTAAAAATGGAATTTTTTAATGTAATTTTCATAAATTCTGAGAAATTTGTATAATTTATGGGAAAGTTTTAATCATAATTGGAAATTTTGAATGGCACTTCCTCTAGGGCTGGGACGATTCACCGATACATCATGATACATTTAAGTTTGATACAGCTATCGTATCGTCGACTGGTGTATCGATACAAAATGATACTCATCTTTTTTTTCAAAACAGTATTATCTTAAACATGTTAAAGTACTTATTTAGAGAAAAATACACAAGTATGATAGAGTTACGTGTTTGTTTATTGCAATAGTGTTATTGTTATACACAAATACCTTGTAATAAATCATTATAAATCTTAATACTGTGTCATTCTTTCAAGGTGTATGTGTCGCGATATGTATCGTATCGCAGGTAAAATATCGCAATATGTATTGTATCGTAACATAGTGTATCGTCCCAGCCCTAACTTCCTCTAGACTTAAAGTCAGATGTCGGCCTCTGAGCAGGTCCAAATAAAACCCTGGGCCTAGATTTCTCTTTGCATAAGATAGTCGTAAGTTAATGTTAATGTATGGCACTTATGATGACGAGAGCTTCAAAAATCTAGATCCTGTAGTCCAAAGTCTGTGTTAATAATCTGTTTGGTCTTCTAAGCACAGATTATAAAATTCTAATTTAAAAAATACAGTTCGCTCTACAAACCATGTATAGTGTAATAAAACACACTTTTGCCCTGAACTATTAATAGTTAAAGCACAGGCACGCTTATTTCATCCGAAATGCCAAATTTAATACGCCATAATTACGATTCAGGGCAGAAAACAAACGTTCTACCTAAATTAAGAATCAGGGAGAAAGCTGCTCCATTGATGTGTCTGCCCCCCACGTTAAGATCTAACGCTACCAGGAAAACAAATGATAAACAGTTTGATGACGGTTTACGCTCGATTAAATATCTTCTGTAAAGTATTTTAATTACATCTGTGATTAACGTGAAACCATGTGAACGCCGCATTTCTACTACCAACGATGTTTAGATCAGTACTTCCAGATCGAAGCTGAGTAGTCTTGCGACATTCCACGATTGCATTGTGGGAATGTAAACATTGCGAACGCTACCGTGTCGCTGAAAACTTGCGAGTCGAATTGAGACATTTAAAACGTCAGAAAACATAAACGTAATGTTTCCACCAGTGATGTTAGGTGAGTAAGGCAACTGCAAACCAAGAAACGGGATGCAACGGAGTAGTTTACTGTAGGAGGCTGTATGAGGCGATGACAACTGACATGCATCGTGACGTCGCTTACATTGTGACGTAATGTAAAATGGTTCGATTACAAGGGGGCACACTAGAATGGCGCAGTGACGGGATAACGTCATTCAATTGTTACGTCATAAAAACACTGTACCTTTATTGTCTGATAATGTATTTTTTTTTTGATTGTTCTAAGCGCTAAACATCTTAGAAATAACAGTAAACACTGCTGAAAGGTTCTAGTTAAGGTTACTGGACACAGAAGTATTTATCCCGGACAGTGCATGCCTAACACTGCTGGATACTGAGTGGTGGTAAGGTGCACCACTCATTTGTCTCCGACATCTCACATTATAACTACTGGTACACCTTCAGCCAAACTTGGTGATTTTGGTATTATATGAATCCCCTTTTATTAATAAATTTGTTCAAAGTGAAATAAAATTAGGTTTATGTGTAAGTTATTGGGTTTCAACACATGTTCCTTTCATTTGCAATATTAATATTTTTGCATTTATTTGATCATTGCACATTCAATTGTACCCACCATCTTCTCAGAAGCAGCTTGAAAATGAAGTTTTAAACTTCAAATGCTTATATTCACAAATAATGACTTTGATTTGTACATGTTTGAAATGTATTTTCAAAGAATATGCCCCAGTTCTATAGTACTGTGCTGCTAATAGCTGCAACATTGCTGATGCAGCATTAAGCAATATTCACTACAGACTGTTGTTTGTTTGGTCCAATGAATGTCATGTAATTTCCATGCATTTCTAGGCCCTTCCCAACGGATCGGTTATGCCAAATGGGTCGGCCAACAGGACCTCCTCGTCCTATGCCAAGCCTAAAGTGAAGTCCTTCCATGATGATTCTGATGATGTAAGTGAAACGTTTGGCTGCAAACCGAGTCAACTAACAGGAACATACCATAAAAACAGTATATCATTTATATCATTTATCATTTACTCTGCAAACCTTTTTCTAAGCTGCTGTGAGAATCCTGCGTTAGAATACGTCACCAGCAACCGTTACTAGTCGTCAGAATAGGATGAATGCCCTCAGTTTAAGTCCTAGATTTGATGTATATAGATCCTTTAAAACAATTATCAAACCTGAGAGATATTTATCAACTATTATAAGCAAGAAACTTAGAAATACATTTATAAGATTTAGACTTGGTTTGACAGATATATATGATTAATACTGTATCTCGATTTAAGAAAGGAGTATATTCCACAGAAATATTTGTGTCATCCTGCTAGGGAAAAGCCTATCAGATTTTTATCATCATAAGACAAATCTTTTCATGTAAAATTCGGGGCGGTGGGGTAGCTGAGTGGTTTAAATGTTAGCTCGTCACACTGAAGATCCAGGTTCGATTCCCTACATGAATACAATGTGTGAAGTCCGTTTCTGGTGTACCCTGCCGTGATATTGCAGGAATATTGCTAAAAGCGGCGTAAAACTAAAACTCACTCACTCATGTAAAATTCGCCCTGTTTTTAACACATTCATGGGGACTTATTGGAGTCTGGCTGGTAACAGTGTTGATGGTGCTCATCATACCTGGACACAATCATTGCTCATGATATCACTCACTGGATTGTCAGACCCACATCAGTCATATACAGGCCACATTCAAATCGCTATAATGTCATGAAATCCATTGTTAAACATGGAAATGTGTGTCTAAGACGTTCTGTGTCTGTTTCAGACCTGTGAAGATACTGAGTTAGAATTGATTTTCAGTAACCCATGCTTGTCGTAAAAGCCGCCTAACGGGATCGGTGGTCAGGCTCACTGACTTGGTTGACACATGTCATCGTATCTCAGTTGTGTAGATCGATGCTCATGCTGTTGATCACTGGATTGTCTGGTCCAGATCCGATTATTTAGAGACTGGCGCCATATAGCTGGAATATTGCTGAGTGTGGCGTCAAACAACAACCAAACCAAACCACTGATCATTTTTCATGATCTGATTCATTGGATTGTCACACCCACACTCAATCATATACAGGCCACATTCACATTGTTGGAATGACATGAAGTCCATTGTTAAACAATGTGTGTCTAATGCAGTGTTTGCAGTACTTTAATTTGCCAGTTGGCCATCAGGGACTGCTGCTGCCTGCAGGCTTTAAAATCTACAGGCCCTGAATGAAACCTGCAGGCCCATTTTGTTTAAGTCAAACCAATAAAAACAAAATTGACTATACTGTACACAGTTTCACACTGTTTCCACAAAATCCGTTAGTGAAGCGTATTGCACACAAGAGACGTTTTCATTTGTTAAAGACTGGTGTTGACATTCCTACACACAAAGCGCTGAAATACCAGGAAGTGAAACTGTAAGTTAACATAACATGATGGATCAAGGATTCCCGAATGTTTATATGGGAAAGATTCCAGTCGAAAAAACCCCTGACAGATAATTTACTGAAGGCCACAAGGGCCTGCAAATATTTGAAACTGTCGGCCCGATACAATAACAACCGGCGCTGGGCCTCCGGGCCAGCAGTTATTTCAAACGCTGGTCTAAGATGTTCCGTGTCTGTTTCAGGATATGCTGGAGTAGAGGCAAGGAACAGCTGCTGACATTCCGTGTCCAACAACCACGGCTCAATCCCCGTATGGACACCTCTCAGTTCCATAACAACACACTTTGTCATGCAAATTTTGTAACCACAGATTATATATGTCCATGGCTCATGTAAATACTTTGTACAGAAAAACGTCATCTGAACAGGTTTTGTGTTCAGGAGGGTTGAAATGTCATTTCCTTGAAATTTGCCTTTATTATGAACCAAAACTATTGCATATTGAATGTATCAAATAGTTTTAGGATTTGTGTGTTTTTGTCGCAAGTTTTGGGATAGATTTAGAACACTGATGCAGATAATTTTTGGGTTAAAGGTTTCTTTCACTAATCAGTAATGTTTGTTCGTCTTGAAACGTTTCACTGTGTCTTGTGTTCAAACAGTCTTCTCTCAACTGGGTCAACTTATCATGACTAATCATGGTCAGCAAAACTGACCAGTGCTTTGAGGTTTTTAAATGATGCTGTGAAGACTGAACGCTTCATTGTCAGTGTGTTTTTGGTCAATATTTAGAAAGGGATTTGAAGAAAGGATTTTATATATATGAAAACACAAAAAAATGTTTATATGATTGTCTGTTTTACATGTATGCTGATAGAAAATGAAAAAGGAGTTTTCAATTCTTTGATGTTTTATGTTCATTTTAATCAGCATTGCTTTGCTTATATATATATCAGATCCAGTGATCAGCTATCCAACTATCAACCATTGCTTGCTATCAAAAGCTGTTTGAAAATTATGTTCACAGAAACAACATTGTATACAACAGTATGCCTGCAAAGTTTATATGTACAAAACCTATATTTAGTCTTCATATAAAAATATTGTACTTGAATGCAATATTGAAAACACTCAATACCCTTCAGTTGATCTTTTTGTCAGCTGTGAAACGCCACGTATATTTAGTTTTGTTTTGAGCACAGGGAATGGGATGCAAAGCACCAAATTTTCACCATTGTTATCACGTTACCATGGTTACTATTTAAATATGCACTGTACAGTAATGGTTAGTAAATTGCCCCTGGTTCTTCCAATTTTGACTGTGAGAACAGTTGTAATGTACATAGTTGGGGGTGTATTTTACATTCAATTTCAGTTGTTTCTTTCTTCAATTTCTTCATGTATATAGTACACACTATGACAACAAACTGCAGTGTTCAAAATTAAAGTCGCAAGAGTATTTGCAAGAGAACTTGACTTTCATGCTTAATTTTTATCACTGAACTTTAGATTTCTCAACTGTTTCTGATGATATTCAACCTAATTTTCTGAATCTAACAAAAGGATAAGAAAACTTAAATAATAAATCACAACAGTTGAAATACAAACAAACCCAGACTAATACCATATATTTTAAGTGTAACTTCTGTTGACTGTAGATATGAATATTTTCAGCAATGACAATGAAACCACTGGATGTCTTGAAGCTCCAAGTATTATTTCAGAGTCTATTTTCTATAATTATTCTTTATGACAGTTCCGTAGTACTTCATATATTGCAGGAAAAGCAGAGGGCAAATATAAAAGAGATCATTGTCATGTTGCTGAGTGCGACGTTGTTTCTTTGTCAATACATGAGGCATAAAAGAGTGGTGTTTGACCTTACAGGGTGTCCATTTTGGTTTGTCCTTTTGATTTTGTGTATCTCACCAGTTGTGAAATTTTAGATGACAGCTTAGATGATATTCTGCCACTTAATCTTTTTGTAAGAATGAAAACCAGGACATAATTTGAACATCTTTGAAATATCAGAAAAACATATGTTAATGTTTCCCACATGTTATGATCATAATATAAGTGTGTATTTGTATACTATGTTTATTCCTTCATTATGACGTGTTGGTTGTTTTGAATCACCAGTAATGTAATAATTTGGTGGAACAGTCTGGAAATGCTGTGTTTATGCTATGACATCAGGCATGTGGTCAAGTAAAGCATGATGGACAGAAATATGTTCACATTCTGAAATGTCATGCAGGTTTTTATCATGCTGAACACAGCCACAATGTTTTCAGATGAACCGATGAAAATATTTTCTGAAATTGAACCTAAATTTCAAAGTCATGATTTGGATTCTTGAAATGTTTTTGGACCGATCCTGTAAGAGAAACCATCTATAACTCCAGCCTGTTGTACTATGTCTAGAAGCCAACATACTGATATTGTCCATCTTATTTGGCAGTTTGTGTGTTGTGTACAGTTTGTGTAATAGATGGCCAGTCATTGGCCAGTAGGATTGTTTCTAATATACATTCTTGGGCTGTCCACTGTGTAACTTACATATTGACTGGATGTCGAAACATGTCATGAAACATGTCATGAAACATGTCATGAAACAACAAGCTGTCAGTGTCTGTCTTTGTAAGTTAATTCGGTAAGGCAGTCAATGCTCAGGTTTGATAATGTAACACTGTAGAAAGTGAGTTTGTTTCATCATACTTGAATGAAGTCTGTATATTGGCTTGATCTCACTCATGTGGTGGTTTGAATTGCGACACAATGTATATTATGCTTTATCATCAAAGTTTTCTTTTCATGCAAAAAACATTATCAGGTCATACAGAATAAGTCTTCTAAGATTATAGAACTATTTTTCTTAGCAGCCCAATCCAGTATAAACTGACAAACTAACATTGTGTATTATAGACTGCCTGCACAAAAATCTGGAAATCTGGTAATTTTAAATAACATTATGCCTCACAATGCTTGCTTAGTTGGTCACTTGATTGCTTTCAAATTAACACTTCAAAGTTTGTCGATGGTTTCCCTGTTGCCTAAATATATGTGAACAATTAATGAGATCTGAGGGGTGTATTTCCATGTATAGTGAGTTGTCAGTGTGTACATAATGTATGCTGTTATTTATACATAGTGTTCCCTACAAATTGGACTAACCTTATTGATGTTATCAGACTACGGGTCTGAATTGAGTGTATGGGAGAATTACGAGGTGGTAGAGGCTCAAGTTAGCATGTCATTCCTTTAGTATCAAATTCAGAATTATTTTCTTTATATAAAGGATGTTGTGTTCAAAATGCAATTAAAGTACTTATGTTCTGGTTGATCGGAAACATTGAAGACATGGAAACTGCATTTACATTTTATATTCCTATTGGTCCTGAGTTGGTGAGTAGCCTAGTGGTTAAAGTGTCAGCTTGTTACACTGCAGATATGGGTTTTATTCCCATCATGGATGTTGTTCTTGGTATGGTGGCATAGTGCTGGGTGCACATGATGCTAACGTAAGGGAACAGGTTCTTGCATGGGTACAAGGTGTAAAACTTTCTCAGAGTTCCTTTCTGTAACGCTGCTGCATGACACTTGCTCTTCTACATCATCATGTCTGAGACCTCAAGGAAGGTTTGCTTCCAAAGTAGTAAACCTCAGGAATCCCTGCTTCTTTGTTCTTTCAAGATACCTTTATCAACACCATTTAGAGAACTCAATCGCTTTTATCTTGTTTTCAGATCAATAATTTTCTATGGACCTGAAGATACACATATAATTCATGCAAATATATTCATGTTTGTTCTGTGTCTAGAATTGATTATTAATATATCATAACCATATTATTTTTTTTATCTTTATTTTTGTATTTTTATTATATCATATTTTCTAAACCAGTATCAGTAATTATGTTATATTAATCAGTAAGGCCAAACAATATTATTTCTTGTTTTATGGATCTGTAAATCATATTTTTTTTCAAGAATATGAAAAAAACCAAATTCATTTTTCCCGTTCAAAAAATAAAATCCTAATGTTTTTATTGGCCAGAAATGTAAACTTACAAGAAAAATGTTTATAGATTGTTTTTTGCCCCATATACACATAATAAATTGCCAAAGTAAAATACTTTTTGTATTTAAAAGGAATATTACTTTAACTGGTGATTATTTCAATAATTTTTTCCCTCCTGCCTTTAGGTTTTCTGAGGACAAAAATCCGTAAAAGAAGAAATATAATTGGTCTGGCCTAAAGTCATAATCCTCATTTCCAACCATTATCATGTATTGCTGCTGTTGACTACAGTACGTATGCTGTACTTGAGCCTCACTAGAGTGTGTTAGTATGCTGGTAAATGCCTTGTGTGTATATATGTCTCTTCACTCAACTTTTGTAATAAAATACTTGATCTGTGGACTGGGGAACTAAAGTTTCACCCCTACTGAGTGCATACATTCACTTGCATAATATTAGTCTAATATTTAGTTTCACTAATCAGATTACCTTGCCAGATCGATAACCCTGTAGTTTCTTTTCTGAATCGGAAACATTTATGTTGTTTGTCTCATGAGACAGTTAATTGAAGGGGGACAAAGGTGTCCCCGGGGGCAGTCTCAGAAAGTTTGATTCAAGACTCTGTTACCATTTGATTGCTAAAATGAAAAGCAAAATTTGCTCCCTAAAATTGGTATGGTATGAACTAAATTGTGAAATCAGTAAATGACCAGATCAATACTGATAAATGGATTGTACTGAAAAATTGTTTAGGTTTATGATTACTAAAGGCAATACAATAAGTTATTGTAATTGACCTTGCTACATAATCATCCATTAATGATAAAATATTCCCTTCTCTGACAATTGGTAATAACACATATGCATGGATATATGTAGGACATGGGTAATAGGCCTGAAACAATCCATTCTTAAACTACTGAAGACTGCCTTTCATAAATCATCCCAAACCGTTATTTCTTTTATTTTTGGTTGACAAGAAAAAATCCATTAGTTATGGTGAAAAGCCTTTGCTTAGGATGTTTTCCTCAGAAAGCAGATTTTAGCTTGTCTTAAAATGAAACAGGTGATCAAATGAATCCTCCTAACTGTCCTGGCTTTAGAGAATAGCAATATGAAACATCCAACACATGCCAGTCTTGTTATGTTTCAGAGACACAATGTACAATGTGTGAAGCCCATTTCAGGTGCCCCTATAGGGTACATGGCTGGAATATTGCTAAAAGTGGCATAAAACTCGCTATTCTCCTTTGCTAAACACACAGCAGGATGTGTTTGTGCTGAACCGATACTGTGCTCTAATGTCAACAGAATGGAGGTTAACATTTCAGTGATCCTGTTGTGGTGATTGTTTTGCCATTGCTTGCTAATAATATGCCTCAGAAACATTAGTTTGATATACTGATATATGTATGTGGGTTTATTTTATGACTTCATTTTAAGGGTGCAAGGCCTATGATGATTGGAATATGTGTATTATTTCCTCTTTGATGAATGCTTACCAACGTTGGGTCTCTTTTTCTTTGATGATGATTTGTTTGCTAAGTTTCACAGGTTCAGATCAGAATAAAACTTTGAATAACAGGAATGAATTTTGTTTTGATTTGATTTTGTTCTGTAGTTTGTGTATTGAAGTGGCTTAGATGATCAGAATTTCAGAAATTTACTAAGGTATTATATTAAGCATACCTTCTTGAATAATTGTAATCTAAGAGGAAACTGAACATCATGCTATTTATTGGAACAGTTTGAAAAGATCAGTACAGTGGCATACTGCCTGCGTTTACTGTGACTGGTGATTTACTGAACATGTCAGTAAAGTTTGAGCTCATCTGACTGACCTACGTTACTTGCGATGTGGGCAACTCATCTTTTCATGAACATCCAGACAATTGCCATTCTCTGGTAGATTTGGATACATGTTATCATGATATTGTCATACCTACATCATGGTCTCTAAGTACAGATATTTTTGGCAATTTCTTTCTTCTCTCAGTTGTGAGAACTGATGTTGAATCAACTGACCAATGAATGTGATGCACAACATTCTTGTTTCCTCACGTCATTACTAAGACATGTGACATTGTTACATGTGTAATGTGTGTTTCTTTTTTAAGGTTGTTTCATGTGTGCACCTTGATTATAACTTTACACTTTGAATCCTCTATGTGGGATTAAATACCCGACTGGATTTTGTGTGAGGCTAGTAACGTGGGAAATCTGTACACAGTGGCTTGGGACCGAGTATCAGGTTATGATGTTAAAGAAGCTACCTCAGATAGCCCAGACAAGGCCCTTGGAATGGGCCTGTTTCAGTTATGGACTCAACCACAGCAAGTCCTCAGAATGTATTGTGGATGAGGACAATGTCTAATGCTTTTGTCAAGTGGCAACATCATTGGTGTGAAGAGGATTACGCAGCAATGTTACCTCCTGAACCTCAGATGTCCAGCAAGTCACATAAGGCAATCTTGAGAACAAAGTGAACATTTACTGCCATAGCTCACTGGATTTGTAGTCAAGATAATATCAACTAAGACAACACAGTAGCCACTGCCACATTATTTTCAAAGTATCCTGTCCCTGCCAGCTGCCATTCAAAGTCTGGCTTCCCTGCTTTAAAGATTTGTAGTTGTTCCCACTGACAAGGTCTCAAATACCATAGCCAACATGGTATTACGTAAACATCTTAAATATATTGTTCGATCGAACAGCTTGGTTATTCGTAATCAACATGCCACATATAAGGCCAGTATGTCAACTAAGGAAGAAATCTTCTAAAACCAGTCATCAGTGCTATCAACCTTTGGATTTACTCCGAAACCTGAAGACATGTCCATTCCTCTATTGTCCTGGGTTCCAAAGCCACATAAAAATCAGTCAAAAGAGAGCTATATGGCTGGGTCAAGCAAATGTTCCACCGAATTCCTCTCTCAAAGATTAACCATAATCCTTAATACTCTTAAGAAAGGACCTTCTCTATATTCACTGAGACAAGCGGAAGTGATACCTTGTAGATTTTCAAAAACTTGGTTTCGCTTGAATATTTACAATCTCAGAAGCGGACCAAAGTTCAGTTCTGTCAAAACATTTGATTTTTCAACTTGTATACCACTATCCCAAATGACAAACTAAAGGAAAAACTTCATTCCTTCATCCATGGGGCTTTTGTAAATAAACGTGATGAACACATATCTGTCTTCAGAGGTTCAGGACAATTTGTCAAAAATGAAAAAGGTCATTTGAAGACACATTAGTTCAATGGGAAAGCTGTATGTGAAATGCTGGACTTCTCATTGAAAACATCTTCGTAATATTTGTGGGGTAAAACATATAGACAGCAAGAAGAAATCCCCGTGGGCACCAGTTGTGCTCCCCTCCTTGCGAATCTGGTTGTGAATCGGAATTTCTGCGGGCGTTGGCAAAACCATAACTAGGTAAATTTGGCCAAACATTTTAAGTTAAGCGTCAGTTAAATCGATGATCTGATATCATCCAATAACCATCAAATAGCCAATTCACTTCAATTGATTTACCCACTTGAACTTGAAATTAAGAACACAAGTGAGACAGCCTCAGCTGTTTCATATTTAGATCTATGCATACAGATTCAGAGTGACAAAAATATCTCCACAAAAGGGAGGATATTAACTTTCCAATAGTCAACTTCCCTTTCATGTCGAGCAATATTTTGACACCTTTGTTGTTTACATTGTAACAACGTTTTAAGTACAACGGAGCTTGCTCTTTGTACCAAAATTTCAAAGGCGTCATACGACTCTTGCTCGGATGTTGTTCGATCAAGGTTACAACATTCAAGGCCACAGTAAAATCTTTTAAAAGGTTTTGTGTTAGACATGTGGAGATCATTTAAAAATTGGATGCATCATTGACAAAATGATGTCTCAGGCAATTCCATATTTTGACTTCTAAGATAAGTTCCTGAATGTTTTCAGGTAAAAAGTTGACTAGAGTTTGCTAGAAATCTTTATGACAGGTGCCACCGGTGGGGCCAGAAACCCTTTTCGCGAACATCTGGTATCATCACTATTTGATAGTGATTCACAAACATGCTCTGTCATCGTAGCTCATGGTGTCAATCCCTGGATTTTCTGGTCCAGACTCGATTGTTTACAGACCGCTTCGTACAGCTGTAATACTGCTCAATGCGGCATCAAGCAAACACATACTCGTGATATAGTCCACACTATACAATCGACTCTGCTGTTAGCAGAGATTTCTTACGGACGCGGAAAGGGTTTTGTCGTTTACGTTTAGAGTGCTGTCGAAACATGCATGTTGACAATCTGATCTGATTCGGATAAAGATTTCTTGATTATTCATTTTTTTATTGCTTCAACGAAGTTTAACTTGTACTAACTTTTGATAAAATTTTATCTTGTCATTTCGGAGAAGAAATCGACAATGTAATATGTTTAAAGATGAGATCAGACGATTTGTGACGACATAATTTCCTGACATGACCTTTCAGACCAGATGAGCATGAAAACGGTCAGTTGTTGTGCTTAACCGATTAATTCCTTACAGCACTGGCAAGGCTGTCAAGCTTGGTGCTTGAAGCTGATAGCGTGTACATAAAGGACAAAGAAACATTCGCACGATATGTCATTGCATATTGATAGCTTTCAGCCTTATAACTTTCTCGTCTCTCGCTATCGCTTTCTCGTGTAGTGTAATCACGTTCTCTCAGACGTAAATGTAGGCGAGAAAGCGATGTCCCCTCTCGGACACTGTACCATAGACCACCCTTCACCGTGCAAGAAGATTGACTTGACCAACTTTACCGACCCATCGACGAGATTATGTCACATTCCAGGAAACACTCCAGGGAAGTTCCTTTTCATCATAATGACAAGAAGAAGATTTTCGGATTTACAACAACGTCCAACATTGTGCACCTCTGTGCCGCCGACACCATTATTTGGGAAGGAACGTTCTCCATGACACCCAGTCCGTTATGTGATACGAACACCTTACACACAATTGTTGTTAACAAGATTTTACTATCCATTGCAAGGTAGAAGTGGTGGAATAATTCAATAAAAGAAACGCCAGAAGATTCGAGTTGGGTCAAGTTTATTAACCCCCAAACATACATAAGTAAGAATCTGTCCAGGTTAATATACTACACAGTGACAAGAGAGACCCACAACCCCATTAGGGAAGGCCCGATGAGAAAAGATGGAGAGACTGGAATCTCTGGGAAACTGAGGGGTCAAGGTAACGCAAATTGGCATTACTGCGCCAAAAACCCAACTCCTGAATGTTTGCATGAGAAAGGCCCATATGGGCTGCCCACTGGGCCCCGCCCCTGCGAAAAGAATGTCCAGTTAACTTGACAGAAGCATGGCCAACTCTATGTAAACAAGAATTCACAAAATCAAGAAACACAGAATATAACAAAGGTCTGTCATTCATCTCTCAGCAGAGCACTCTTCTGTGGCGATTTCAACTGTAAATGAAAATAAAACAGTTTAGTCAGAGCTGTGACTGGGCACAGAACAGACTTATCCAGTGACGGAAGCGTAACATACAATTTTCTCTGACGGAACTGAATAGTCTGTGTCCAATGTAATGTTATAACCGCTCCTTGCGGGTGACATGACACATCCCCAACACACAACAGCTTTCCTTTGCCTGCATCTGAAAGGGATTTGCACAGGAAATTAGCCGAACGCAATACCACATAAAAGGCAATCACACATCCTTCCCATACCGAGCAGTGAAACATATTGTCCCAAGACAATGTACTATGTTAACAGGCGTCGCACCATGCTGCTCCTCACAAAGCTCCCTTCTCATACCCTGCAGAACATGGTGGGGAGTCAACAATGCAAAGGGGTCCCCTAAATTATGTTGCTTGTGAAGGGTTCTAACAATACATATATAACTCCGTATAGAGGCACAACACAACCCCTTGAAATCAGCTAAATATGCAAGGTACAGACTTGAGTGTTCACTCGAAGAACGCACAGGTTCAATGTTCAATAAACGGCAGAAATCTAGGTTGCATTGCAAATGCTGTCTGTACGTTCGTTTGGTAGATTCAGCCCATCCCTTGCTTTGGTAAGTGATCACCGACAGTTCCAGCATCTCCAGCATCTCTTGTTGCCGACCACCTGGAAACGATAAACTGCATTGACATATGCTGTGAAAGCTCGGAAATACTAAAAGGCACATAACCCAAAGCATATACCGAAAGCAGATGGTAAAACTGAGATAATCTCTGGTTCGTGCAGACGAGACAACAAATCTGCTACTACATTGTTCCTACCGGGAATATATACAGCTTTAACTAAGAAGTTGTAGTAGGCACTAAGCCAAAACAGATGACGTAAGCCTGGCATGACACCATGAATACATGAAGAGCCCTTATTAATTGCAAACTTCGCCGCCATATTGTCAGTGAAAACTAGCACAGTCATATACTCCCCATCAAAAGTTTAGACTCACTAGTGTAAATGTAGCCACTTACTTCAGCCAACTGTTCTGAACTAGATTTTGTAAAATTATCCATACAGTTTAAAGGTACTGTTTATACATGAGCTGATGTATTGTAAAACAAATTCGCGACATTGAAAGGTTTATTGTCATGTGTTCAATAAATGATGAAACTCGGAGAAAAATGGCGATTTTTTATCAACACTTTACACCAAAACCAGCTGTTTGCACATGCTTTTCAGCAATTTGATGCATGCTCCTCGTGCAATTCATCTGCATAAGGTTTGCAGATGTTTCCCCAAAGTTAGTGTAGAAATTCATCTTCGCTGTAACCATATGTACATACATAACATATAGTGATTGATTTAAGCGAGTCTAAACTTTTGATGGGTGGTATATTTGCAAACTGGGGGGCCCAACCCGCAGCAATAATAGACAAAGTCTCTTTCAAGTATATGTGCGAATCTCTAACATCAGGTCTGTCTTCCTGCCAATTAATGTAGAAATAGTCCCCACAGTAATAGCCTGCAACCCCCTTGGTCACAGGCATCAGTCTGCAGGGAGGTGATGGGCCTATTGTCAATGAATGGTACACAACCATTGAAAACAGACATAAATGAAATCCACCAATCTATGTCCTTCTGAAAATCACATGATAGTTTGATTTTGTGTCCAGGCTTTTTCAGGGTATTACTACAATAATTTATACGACGCAAGAAAGTTCGCCCTCCTTTAACAACTCTACATGCCCAATTCAGTTTCCCTATCAATGTCTGTAGTTCCCGCTTAGAGACTCGTGACTTTGTGCTAAAGTTTTTGATTACATTTATGAAATTCTGTAGTTTTGCTGTTGGTAGTGACAGGGTAAGAGCACAGGTGTCTACCAAAGTGCACAGGTAGATAAACTTTTGGGAAGGTCCATCCACTTTTTTCCAATTAATGTAAAATCCAAGCTCTCTGAGAACCCTCAATTATACATTAAGTCCTTTCAAACACATGTCAAAACTCTTTTCAATCACCACAAAGTCATCAAGGTATGATATCACAGTGAATACATATCTATAGTGCATGATGCGGCACACTACACTAGACAATCTTTGAAACGTCTGAGGGGCACTTCCAAAAGGTAGACGTTTGTCATACAGGAACGTACTGTTCTTGTCGCCTGAAAATTTCCAAGAGAGACCAGTCAACTTGTAGTTCGATTTATGAAGCTTAACTGATCTATACGCACTCTTCAAATCAACTTTTGCCAGCTAATCACCTGGCTTTATATATTTACAGGCATCGTCCAAATCAATGTATGAGCATATAGTATCCTCTACATACGAGTTCAAACCTCCATTCACCGGCACACTTGCATCGTGAATTAGACGCACAGAACCATCTTCATTTAGTGTCGCACCAAGAGCTGAAACAATTAAAGGTTTCTCAGCACAAATTCCACAATGTCCCTGTTGAATTCCAAGCATAAGCTGCTCCTCAACTTTGTCTCTGTGCTCAAAAACCGAGCGGTGGTTATGTTGATACACAGATTGTTCATTGGAAATGTCATTGTCTACTATATTAAAACCATTACTCACACCATCCAAAATATAACACCTGTCAACTTCACTCTCAGGTAGGAGCCTAAACCATGCTTTTGGCTGAAGGCACCCATGGAGATGTGCATCACTATCTACTCGTGTCTGTCTACTCTCATTCCCTCTTTTTGCAAACTGAGTGCTACGTTGTTGAAAAGAGTGGCCTGATGGAGATCCAGTGCCAGACGATGCTGGTGAGCGATGACGTGCAGCACCACGAGAGAATGAATAGCACAGAGCACAACTATGGACAAGCTTGCATTTCGTCTCCAGACGATTACAGTTATCCTTGTTATAACACTGGCAGATTTCTCTTCCATCTGACATGAATGGACCTTTGTGTGATGCATAACGTTTGTTACCAACAATCGACTTCTGGCCCATCTCTTTCATCATGTGCATAGCAGGACCAGTGGCACTAGTGGCTTTAGGAATCAGGTAGAAATTGCACACATCCGGTTGGGGAGATCCCCAAGGGAATCCCTCGGCTGCCTGCCGCTCGCGATATTCTTTGTCGAATAGTAGTACGCTATGCCAGACATTATTAGAAGCCAGACGCATAATCGTTTGCATATATTTTATGATGAAGGCAATTCCTTCATAATGCCTAGACTGGCAACTGTCCATTGTTCCATAGAAATCCTTCCCAAAGACAATTTCCGTGGCCCCCCATTTGAACCTTTGCTACACCTCCAATGTCAATTACACTCCCTTCTTCCAAAATATTTAGGGGATTTGTCCATACATAATCGGTTATAGTCTTAGCTTTTTTACCTCTTCCCATTTGACCATCCACATAGTGTACGTGTACTGCATGTTGACCCACTTCCTGTTCAGTGCCTGGTGATCTCTCGGCCTCAATCTGTCTCAATAGATCATCTCTCTTCCTTCTCAGCTGCGGAGGCTTTAACTCCCTGTCTAAATCATGCACCGACGTCTCTAACTCTTCCAAATCCTCCAGGCCGCACGGATTAGCCAGTGATACTTTACGGTTTTTACCGCCAACTAACTTCGGGGTTGACACACCCGCCGCTCCACGTGGCTCGTCAACAATGTCACAGTCGCCCTCCTCCTTCAGGGCAGCCAACATGTCCCCAAACTTACTACCCGCGTTTTGACGTCTCTCCCGCGACATCATGTAAATGTAGAGTTACAACGCACCAACACGCCGGGAATTAGAATTACTTCCTTTAAGCACCTTTGCTGCACAACATGGCCGCGCCAAGATAAAAACATATATAAAATGCGGAATGCGAAAAAAGGTGGATTGTGCAGTAAGTAGAAAGTTACGGACTCAAACGAAAAATGTAATATAAAATTTATCACAAAATTTAAATGTTGCAGCTGGTCTACTTAAGAAGCAAAACACATGGGGAGCCTTCAGAACGTGCAGAAACCAGACACGTCCAGATAAATTTCAAGTCTGTTCAGGTAATAACTGACATCATTAGAGTGATTTTGCAATCATTATGTAAAACATGTTCGATTCAGACAATACGTCTACTAAATAATGTAAAGGAAGTATTATGTTTACAAATATATCATGTTTAAAGTGATTTTATTCCATCTCATGAGGCAAGCTGTCAATGTAGCAAAGCATCCAACGACTTGCTGCTTAAATATTATAATTTCTGTTGTACATTACCATCAATCCGCAAAGATATGGGCCAGAATGCTTGCTGACTAACGGGATCGGGTGGTCAGCCTCGCTGACTTTGCTGACACGTCATCGGTTCCCAATTGCGTAGATCGATGCTCATGCTGTTGATTACTGGATTGTGTGGTCTCGACTCGATTATTTACAGACCGCATTCATATACCTAAAATATCGTTAACTGTGGCGTTAAACAACAAGCAAACAAAACCTTACCATTAATTCTTCAATGACCATTTATGTATGCATATCCTTTCTTGCAAGACGTGGTTGTCGGGACAGAAAATGGTATAATTCATATCATATAATTACCATTCAAAATTATACTTGATATGTTTTCCCAACTCCATGTCCCGAAACCAAGATATCTATAGACAATCTTTTTGCCACATTTCATCGTATTCCAAATGTCTACAGCTATGCTCATGATGTTGATCACTGGATTGTCTGGTCTAGACTGGAATATTTACAGGTGAGGTGAGGTGAAAAGGGTTTAACGTCGCATTTAAGATTATTATCATTCATATCACGACGTGCATGTGTGTGTATGTGTGGTTGTTTGTACTAGCCCAGCCTTAAGCTGGTTTTATAGTGCAAGCTCACTGAGATACCAGACCGCAGTTAAGCATGAATACCCTACTCAGACACATTATACTGACTCCGAGCCGACCAGGCCCATTAATGCCGAGCGCCGAGCAGGCACCAACAAGTACCATATTTTAACGTCTTTTGGTATGACGCGGCCGGGGATCGAACCCGCGACCTTCCGCTCTCCGTTTCTACACCAAGAATGTCAATAGTGTCTTCGTTTTTATGTCGATAATTTTCGAAAATATTGCTTTACCTTGAGGAGATGGAAATATTTCACAGAACCTCACTTCAAGGAAATGGAAATGTTTTAAAATCTTTTACATGGACGACCAATGTCGGCCTGTATATTTCACAAGATATCTTGATTCTATTGCCTTAATTCAAAAACAGAAATAAGTTACAACCATGTTCAATGCCTGTATGAACGAACGTTGTCCGCGTGTATTTTCAGTTATTTTCGTCGGAGGATCGTTGCACGTACACAATGTTTCATCGCTAGCCTTTCTTCAAAAGTTGGCCAATGGAAAGATCAAAGTCGTGAATAGTTTGACAGTGAAAAAGAAACGTTGCTTTATTTGAAAACTGCAACTGGCTGCAAGACGATAACGTTGCAGTCACACTGCATATAGCTGATATGATATGTACATCAATATACTTATTTACAACTGGTGGTGATATCCATATGGAGCCGTAAATGAAAGAAAACAGTCAATCTGAAAATGTCAGCGTAAGGTCGTAGCGAGATGTTGTCATGAGTTGATCATGAAAATTAAAACCCGGTCAGCCTGCATGAAAGTCAACATATTAACCACATCAGTTATAGCATGAGCTTTTCGCGGAAAGAAATCCGAGACCCTGTCCTACATATTAATTTCCTTTCGTAATTGTTTTTTGATGACCATTTCATCGTCTAGAGCAACGATGACTCTATCTGTTTATAACTACAAGATGAACGTAGGGGTTTTCATCTGAGATGTCCTCAGCATCGTGGTCTTCGACGACAATGCACGCTGCATCTTCTTCCTCACAACGATCGAGCGGTTCATAGTTGCTGGTCTGAGTCAGACCACCTCCAGAGGTACATGGAAGCAAGTCAAGAGGCGTATATGATGGAACATGGTGGCGAGTATCGGGTGTTGCGACGTCAGCAAGACGTGCGTGGTCATCCGGAGACACACCACCACCCCGTAGACTTCCCGGATCCAGGGGAACATCTTCAGTGACTGGTTGGATGATTGATGTAATATGACGGCGAGTATCTGGTGTTGCGACGTCACCAAGACGTGCGTAGTCATCCGGAGACACACCACCACCCCGTAGACTTCCCGGATCCAGAGGAACATCTTCAGTGACTGGTTGGATGATTGATGTAATATGACGGCGAGTATCTGGTGTTGCGACGTCACCAAGACGTGCGTGGTCATCTCGATAACCGCTTGATCCCCAAAGATTCTCTGGGTCAAGGTTAACATTTTCAGTCGTTGGTTGGGTGTTTGATATCTCATCACAGGCTGTATCGTGTGTTCCCACTTGTGCTTCATCAAAGCCAAGACTAGTGTCACCATCTGGAGATAAACTTGCATCCTGTGAACCTGTGACGGTACCGGGTCTATTCAGGTTCCTGCTGCAGGGGACATTGATCACATATAGGTTGATTTGGTCGTCGCCTGTGACGTTTGCCGACCTGTCTCTTGAAACAGAAAACATAACAGTTGTTGATCCTATGCGTGATATAGAAAGCAAATGAAAAGTTACGATAAGTTTTATTTGTCCTCTTAACGTAAGTTCTAGACAGCCCGGGGTTACACGTGCCACCAACGTATAAATATATATATAGCTACAACATGGATAAGTATATGAAATTTAGCTGGACACATAAATTCACTTTAATGTGTCCCACATAATGGATGACGGGCACTGAGAATTTTGTCATATTGTTTTAGATGATGCTTTGAGACTTAATTATACATTTTAAAAGGAACCGATAAGTTTTAACAACCCCTAACCAAACAGTTGGGCCATAATAATGTTCTGAGGGATAGTATTAAGTCTGATTGCAGTCATGTGTCTGATTAGAAAACTACGTGTTTGACACCTCACATGGTACAACAAAGTGTTTTCACCAAAGTATTTCAGATACTACTCACGATCTTCTTCTCCAGATGAAGAAAGCCACCAGAAGCAGTACAGACATCAGGACAAGTCCCACAGGAGGTAGAATGGCCGACACATATTGGCCTATGTCCCAACCATCAGGCGACCTCTGAAACACGCCCGTTATGACCTGTAGTGATCGGAATGGGAACGTTATACCACATATAGGCGGGAAGAAGACTGATTTATGATTTCACAGGTTACTTTAAGAGGTAGTAGCCTACTTACTGCCCTTACAAACACTCGTGAGCATTCCGGGTGAGAAAATAGTTCCAAACCATAGGCGCCCGACTCTGATATATTTATAAGTATGACCTAATTATAAATATATCAGATTCGGGCGCCTATGGTCCAATGTTGCTCTGGCAGTGTGGGCACGAGCGTTGTCTTGCTGGAAGATGTGATTTCTGTAACGTCCGAAATGTGGTACAACGTGGGGTCTTATGACTTAATCAATATAGCGAGCAGCTGTCACGTCATTTCTTCATCCTGGACCAACATTCTGGATCACCACGGTATTAACTAACTGGTTCAGACCGATTGCACCCCACACTATGATGCTTGGACCACCCCACGAGTCTCTTTCAACAATACACTCATTGGAAAACAGTTCCCCACGCCTTCACCATACTCTTACTCTGCCATCGACTGTCGAAACACAATATCGGTTTTCATGAGATAAAAGCATAGTTCTCCATTGTCGATAACGCCAATTTTGATGCTGAGTTGCCCATTGCAGTCGGTTTTGGCGATGATGAGTGGTGAGGACAGGACTACGATATGGTCTGTGACAACAGAGGTTTCGTCTGCGCAAACGTCAACGCACTGTATCGCCACTGATGTGTCTGTTGTGAGTCCCAATGGTCTGGCGTGCTGTTTCCGTCGCTCTGGGGAAGCGATCCTGCAGGTGGTGACGCACAATCTGTCGGTCTTGACGTTGTGATGTTACTGAATGTCGCCCACTGCGTGGACGGTGTTGGGGGCTGTTACTGACCTGATACCACTCCTGCAGTCGGTAGATTGTCCTAACATGAACATTAAAATGATTGCCTACCCTCCGTGCAGTCTGGACAACTTGCAATCGTCCCAAGACTTGGTTCCTCTGATCTCTCGTAAGTCGTGACATGACATGATGATTGTGTCCCCAAAAATTATTTCAGTCGAGTTTGGGACTCGCTATTATTGGTAGGGTTGTCACTACATGCACGTGCATTTTCATTTTCACGAATGTCATACGGAACCTTTTACCATGTCTGCCTTTTTCGGTGCGTTTGGTCAATATGCTTTTTTTATCAGAAAACACACTGGTAATACCTGTCAATTTGGATTGATAACATGTTAACAAAACGGTACAATCACAATATAAAGCACCACCTTGTAAGAACAAAATTTTGCATTAGGTTTTGAAAGGCGACGTTTCTATTGTGGTTTAGTATATTTAGTATAGACTAAAAACTAAGCAATATGCCACTAGCAACGTTAGGAGTGGCTTTTACATGGTTTTCTATACCTTTGCCTCCCTGACCCCATTTGTACCCTCTAGTTAATGTATTGAACAAACTATGGTATACTGCTTTAACAGGGAGAGTGCATGCATATATATATTCCATGTGACCTGTTCGTTTTGTGAATCCATTCTTTATAGATTGCAGTTATAGCTACCTTTGATTCCCTCCATACAAAATTAATGCACTCGAAACTTCCGAGTGAATTTCTACAACTTACCCTATTTTCACATGTGTTGTCAATTTCTGCGCATTCATCGATGTCTTGATCGCAGTTGTCTCCCGTCCAACCTGCAATTTTAAAATTGAAACTAATTGAAATTAGTGCAGAAAATGATTGAAATAGTGTTTACAGTAAAAACCTGTTCTGACTACCGTCAGTTCAAATACCAGCTCAAATGAACGTCTAAATGTGCAATTTGGATATTACTCTACACCCATACTTAAATAATCTCATCACTTTAAAGAGCGCCGCCCGGATAGGTGGAGTGAATAGCATGAACAGAACAAGACGTATATTACAGTGGTCGTAATGTCCCGCATGCGAGGTACAAATGACTATATACCCAATACGCGATGATGGATACACGGTAAACCCGAACAGGTAACATATACCCTTTCTAAGCTGACAAAATATACACCTGGTATTTGAGTTCAATTACAAATTGCTTAAAATTTTAATCTAGTTGGTCTCCCTAAATAAACTAACGGGCAAAAGAAACGATACCAAGTCGAAATCACTGATATTACAAAAAGACAAACCCCCATTGTGAAAAAGGACAGTGAATTTTAATAACAGGTGTATGGGTAATATGCACTTAGTCATTTAGCTAACAGCTGTGTTTTTCACAATGGTGGTTTGTCGTTTTGTAATATCAGTGATTTCGACTTGGTATCGTTTCGCTTGCCCGTAAGTGTATCATTTTTGTATATATAGTTGACCACATCAGCTTTCTGAGCTTACCTTGAAAGCACATTTTAGCACCTGTGTGTTGGTGGCAGCTGTAGTGACTGTGGTCAGTTGTTGCCTTGCAATGTCTCTCACACGCATACCCGTACCAGTCCGGGTCACAGTAGGCACTGACAGCAATCTTTAACCTGGAAAATGGTTCACTCAATACATATTAGTTTGCGCAAACCCTCAGAGTCAGACACCTAATCGCCAGCACACAAAGTGGTGCTAATTCATTCTCTGGGGTCTGTACGACAAAGTACATTAATATTGCCTATAGTGGAAGCCGCAATGGCTGAGCGTGGTAGGCGGCTGACTTTGTGTGCTGGTGAGTAGGTGCCTGACTCTGAGGGTGTAGTTCGAATCTCAGATGCGACTCAACCCAACAAAAGTAATAGAATCTGTACTTTGCCAAGAAAGTGTAATCCCAAATAAAACGTATGTTATATTTAACCGCTTTCTAAATGGCATTGAGTATTCAAATCGCCCTGAATGTGTAGATGTATCATTCAAATTAGAAGTAGGTTTAGTGAGTGAGTGAGTGAGTGAGTTTTACGCCGAACTCAGTTATATTCCTGGCAGCGGTCTGCAAATAATCGAGCAGACAATCCAGTGATCAGCAGCATGAGCATCGACCTGCGCAATTTGGATACGATGACATGTGTCAACCAAGTCAGCAAGTCTGAGCACCGGACCCCGTTAGTCGCCTCTTACGAGTAGGTTTAGTACTCACAGCTCCAATAGTTTGGTAATCAGGTTGCAGTTTGGACGGTTATTCAATATTCTGTTCAAATGTTTCTTGCATCCCCTCAACCCAACTCTATTGTATCAGCACGGTTCTAGTTATAGTCTGTTTGCAGTGAAAACGTACCGATGAATTTTACTTTAAACAAAAAATGAACTCGAATAAAGTGAAATTAAAAATGCGAATCCTCATAATTTTACCTTGCCAATTGAACATTTAAATCTCAGAATGTTATTCAACTTAGGATAAAAGTTGTTTAACAAACGATCATACTTTCAAACCGCTGTTATTGGTTTGTATTTCAAGGGGGTATGCACATTAAATGAAACGCCGAGAACAAGTTGGGCAGGTCTGAGTTAACGCTCATCGCGTACCGCACGTGCATTTGTTTCACTGCTCCAACTACTGCGCTTACCCTCTTCAACCTTCATTTCACTTTATTTGATTTACTTTTTTGTTTAAAGTGAAATTCATCGGTACGTTTTCACTGCAAACAGACTATAAGTCTCACTCACTCTGTCCTTCCCCACAATGTGTAATGGGTGTACACAGCTTCCTGTTCTGTAGCAGCGGCTCGGATGTTGATCAGCTTAGAGAGTGTGTCCATGTGGTCATCACTGGAGATGTCATTATTGTCATACACCTCCACCGTTATTTCTATCGAGTACTGGAGAAAAGACTATGCATATCAAATAGTAAAATCCACTATGACCTTGTTGTAGATGTCATCATTGTCATACACGTGGTCTCTTATTTTGAAGGACTGCAGAAAATAAAATGTATGCTCTTTGTTACTTTGTTCTTTAAAGCCACAGGCAGCGACATTCCAGCCAAACGATAAGTGTTCCGTAATCGTTCACAAGACATATATCAGTTAACTTAGTTTTTGTATGGTATTTAGTGCCGAAGTAATTACTGTTAGTTCACCTTTGAAAATAATGACAGGCTTGACCAGAGAAACCAGAACGTGATGCTATGTGAGTCGCCATGAAGATACGATAATCCGCTGGCATACACTGAGCTTTAACTTCGATCTGTGAACTGTTTTTGTTAGTTGTCACAGGACAATGTAGGTTTTGGTAATACTTTCGTTCATACCATTAATATCTGCTGAAGAGTAATCATAGATTTTCCTTTTGAATGAATTATTGTTCTGTACAGTTCTTGTTGTATTAAGAAACACCGGACAGTGATCACTGCATATAGGATCTAATACACCAGAATCTCTAACATCGTCAACGCGAGATACAAATATCCTCCTCCTAATTGAATGTATCTGACGTTGAATTTTACGTAAATGGTTCATTCCAATACATCAAGATTTTGTAGTGGAAGGTCTCCCTGGCGTATTCAGCTAACTTACCTTGACCACAACCATCCAATAATGGGTCAAAAACTGCACTAATTAATGTTCCATTAAATCTGGATGTGGCAAACATTGCCACAATGTCTTCATACAACGGAACTCTTTCTAAGTTATGGCGTAATATCCTTACTTAAATGACACGTTAATGAAAATGTAAATTGGTGTTAACATCATATATATTACTAAAAAGAAGTTAAGGGTCAAAGGTAGATTTACAGTCATTCAGTTTGCACAGATCACATGTTTTGCACACAGTGCTCAGCTTTAGGACAGCATAAACTGTCAGCACAATTCTAACCACATTCATGCTTGGAAATCCTGTTTTATATGTTTGCTATGCATAATTAAATGTCATGCTGAAATCTACCTTTGACCCTTAACTTCTTTTGAGTATGTTGCTATACGTTCTATCATGTGTATATAATCTGAAACGTACCCTCCTTGTGAATGTTAGATATAGGTCACAATCTTACCGGTACTGCTTTGTCCACTTGTATGATGAAAGGATTTGGTGTTCCTTGAATGCTGCTTCCAAAATCCATTATGTTGTGGTCATCTATGTAGTCTGTGGCGTTGTCATAAAGAGAGCAAGGCTTTCTTCCGCCTGGTCTGGAATAACATAAAGTAACTGTTTTAAGCTATTAATACCGCAAGTTACAAAGGTCTACACTGAAAACAGTATTTAGTAGCCACGTATGTAACCAGAAGGATTTGTACACCTTGTGGTATTGAAGGATGATTTCCATTTAAACATAATCTACGCATTTCAAAAGTTTATCGCTGACACCTTGATTTTACTCATACGTTGTGATAAGGTTTGAAGAGACCAAAAGAAAGCAATACACAAAGCATTTCCTCATGAGAATGGGGCCCCCGTTCCTCAAAGCTATCGTAGCGCTAAGATGATCGTAACTCCCATACTTTAACATAGATTTACGACTGTCGTAGCGCTACGATCGCTTTGAGAACGAAGAACCTGGGAGAAGAACTAGCATATTTAACTGGGGATTTCTAAATAGTTGAAGAATATACCCACATATCAATGCACAGGATAAACATTGGATCACACTTATCGGTACAATAAAAGTAGCCTCCACTGTCACAACAGTTCCCACTGATATTCTTGCCATCCGACCAGTAACTGATGAACAGAATGTCCAGCTTGCCGTCAGCACTCACATTCTGTTAAAAAGTGAAGATAACATTAGACACATATCAATTATGAATTATAGCTACTACATTTACATAACGACTTTCTATCAGCATAAAGTTATATCAGAAGCATTACTGATAAAACAAATTATTTTCAATTCAAGTAAATCAGGAATCTTGTGCTAATCCACAGTTAATAGCATAACGGTGAACTTCGTCTCTTACTAAGTATAACTCGTTGTTAGAATGAAAACTGTCTAAATGTACATAATTTGTTGGCCGTGTCTCAGGTACGACGAGGGACCTGCAGCACTTCGGGCATCATCACATATTAAGCTGGCGAAAATAAATAAACTAATAAACTAAAATAACCTGAGTTAAACCCAGCCTAGCCCTCAGCAACATGGTCAATATTGTCTTCCATACTATCCACGAAAGATAACTATGCAAACTTCACCGATTACTGTTGAAGTAGTGGATGAAAATATTAGGTAATGCCCTGAGTGATTATTTAAAGATATAGAATCATGTAAATGTTATGTAATACGTTAATCGCAATTGCCAGGGAGTTCGCTATAAGCTTTCTAACGTGACTGAACTAGTCTGATACTGAGATAATAAATGACTTTGGGTAAGTGAAACTGCGAAAGCTCAGAATATAACCGCAAGCAGAAACATTGTAAATACTATATGCATATAAGTTAATTTATCCCAAGCAGGATATATTCACAGTATGATATATGTGAAGTGTACTTACGCCCTCTAACTAGTATTTGCTAACTTGGCCATTTTAAGAGATGTTTATAAGCCTACCCTGACAATCAACAACCAAAGAAGTAAAGTCATCCATCGACGTTTTCCGCTTGTCCTCATCTCTCAGCGGTGGTATCCCGTACACGTGGGCCGAAGGTGCTGGATGCAGATCGGATAGAGAAGACTTTACACAGCCCATAAGTCTGTCCAGTGGTGAAAACTGCCTGCTAACTCCAGCAACACACGTCGAGTTTCTCATGCTTTGTTTTCAGTTTCTACTATGTTGTGTTGCGGAAATATAAGGAAATTGCGGAAATATAAGGAAATTGTAAAGTTCGAGAAAATTGTTTCACATTAAACAGTGACAGCTATGAGAATTATCGAATATGGGATCGATATTGGCGATGTGTCATTCGCCTCCAAGAGGATGTGCATACCAAAATGTGTTATGAGTTAAGGGGATGCCTTAATGAATGAAACACATTTATGTCAAAGATAACCTAACCCAAACAAGCCACGCATGGTTAGTTAAGCAATGTAGTTTTTTAATAAATTAGTAATTATTCTGCAATTATGACACTATTTCATTTATATTACAGAAATTTGATTTCATTCCCTGAACCGACGAAACGGAGAGTGGAACTGATGTTTACAAGGTTTTGCTTTCTCGCTTGTTTTCGTGTCGACTGTTTTGAGAATATTGCCGTAATTCAAGGACATAGAAAACTTTAGTCAGTAATTTGAAAATAGGTTTGTGAACGACTATTTGTAACATTATCATCCTTATACCTTGTAGGATATTAGTGCTTGTTGTCGGCCGTTTCCAGCAGGACAGGACGTGTTTACCTTCCATGCGAACACTTGGTGTCATCACTGATTTTCACTGTTCACAGCTATTTAAACCTTTTATGCAAATGGATTAGTTTCAGTAGATATTCAACACTGTGTATGATTTTGCCTTGTCATTTGTAAGTTTACTTCAGCTGGGTCAATGTTCTGCTGATGGTGTGAAGTCCCACTATTATCCATGCTTGGGCTGAGCATTATCCTGCCTCTACTCTCCGTTGCCTAATGAAGATATTTCTTAAAGTTTTTCTTTACCCTTAAGAAACACCATCTCTTACGTAGCAGTCGGAATTTAAAAGCATTTTATCATTTTCAACAAAATCAGTTTATGCACTGTCAGGTAACTGGATTTCAATCATGTGATTGTGTGATTGTTTACTATGTAAGGTCGGAGAGAGCTTAAACAATATTACATTCATATCATCATTCTTGGGCATCACACACTGTACCAGTAGGGAATCGAACAAAGATTCACAATGGGCTAAACCCAGGTTACCTGGAATTTACTCCATGGTAAAGAACAGTAACTAGATCATTCTTAACAGATCCTACAGAGAATGTTCACAACATGGACACATCTTTGAACTGGAACCCGGCCAGCCAGCGTGCAATGCAACACTTCAACCACTTAGCTATGAAACGTTTCTGATGCACACGGATTGCTTGCGATGCGAGTTTGTTGGTGTTATCCCTGTCCCCAATCAGTCCCATAGCAGAGAAGCATTTAACATCTTATTTTATCTTCAATTGCATTGTACTAGAAATCTGTATTGCCATTCACTGTAGTTTGCTCATTGTTTGTTCAATATTTTATTGAATATTTTAGACTTGTCTGTGTTCTATTTTGCTGGTTCAGAGGGGACTTTTAAACCTTTTGTCACCGTAAATTGTTAACCGTAACAATATGTAAACATGCCTGGTCAATAGGCGGCATGGGTAAATATATGCTCTCCAAAACAAGTAACGCACAGGTGATATTGATACATGAAATTTCTAATATTTCTCAAAAATGGTGTTTGATTGTTATACTTTATAATGTTGGTTTGTCTACATGAATAGAATACACAGGGCAAAACTCATCTTAGGACATTTTGATACACGTATACGTTCGAAAGTGTCATGGAGAAAAAGTGGTTCGTAATATGCACGTGTTGTTCTTGTAATATGCACGTGCTGTTGTGAGTGGGTATATTGTCTGTACAAAACCGTTTGCTTTTATATGGCTATTGTCATTTTTTAAGTAAATGAAAGAATACAGCTATGCTTCAACTCACTACTATAAATGAAAACAATGCCATTGGACGTCTGGAGGCTGGGGAACCTCAATCTGCCGTTGAAGGTACATCCGGGTACTTCATTTGCAGAATCGCCACAGCAACGGTAACTGCAGGTAGGGTGTCGGCACAAGCCATTCGTATTCGAAGCTGTACTGGAAGCTAGGAGACCCAGTGCTGCGACAATTACATCGACGTTGACGGGTCCAGTGGTGCAATATAGTCCGATTCTAGAATCTACAAACCTGGCGACGTGTATGGTTCAATTTCTGCTTCAGTGCCGTGATGGAATAATATGTGTCTATCGACATTCAAATGAACATTTTGCCTAGCATTGTGTCGCCCAGGTTGACCGATATGGCGGTGGGAGTGTCATGATTCGAGTAGAAATATCCTACACGCAGAAATCTAATTTTGTTCGCCTTCATGGCAATGTAACTGCTATTCTGTACAGGGACGAAATCATAAAAATCCACATAGTTTTAATCATTGACCGCCAGAGGGAGTTGTTTCAACACGATAACGCCACGCCTCACACATCACATGCCACTATTCAGTAGCTTCAGAATGAGAACATCACATTGCTTCGATGGCCTTAAAATCGTCCCACCTAAATCCTATCGAACATTTGTGGGATGACCTCGTAGGACGCATACGGTAACGTCACCGGCGTCCGAGACGTTAGATCAGCTCTCTCAGGCATTGCACGGGGATCGGGCCAGAATTCCACATGGTCGAATTCAAGACGTTTTGAGTCCATGCCGAGACGATGCATAGCAGTTTTTGGGGCTTATGGTGGCCACAACAGATTTTGTAGACAATGCCCTACTGGGAACGGACGCCTTCACTTATTGAACTATTTATCAGCTAAACACATTAATAGACAGTGTTGATCTTTCATCTGTGTAATTTGCCTGCAACAAATCTAGATTTACACGTGTTATCTCACGTTAAAGTTAGGAGATTACATTCGTGAAAATACATCTATGCGTTTTTTGTTTGGGAGAGTATATATGATAAACTGATGACCTGACGATTACCACTTTAAAAAAGAAAACAATTTAAAGGGTATGGTGCTAACATGTATTATCGTGATAATCGTCTGGACATCAGCTCCGGCAAATATGTTCACATCACATTAAGATGCGTGATCTACCTGAAATACTGTTCAAATCAAACCCACTTACCCGAATAGGTTATACATAGAACGTTTAGAGTTCCTTACATTTGAAATGAAATGCACCGTTACACGCAGCAGTTATATGTATGTATCTCAAACACCTGTACATAACGTCTGGACCTGACAGACCAGTATCAGCATGAAGGGTACGATCAAATAGTAGTAACCAGGTTTATCAATGTGTAATTCCCCAGTCCTCATTATTCGATGGCATTAGAAATTCGTTTCGATTAGTCCACTGGACATGCGGAAACCTTATTTCACTACTTAAATAAACTGTGCGTGACATGGGTTAAAAGATCAGAAGCCGGAAATACAGTGAACACCTTTTCTTGTATTGGTAGCACCACACAAAATGACTGTATTACCCAAATTTACTAACGTCAGGAAATACTCGTTTCATCCGGCGGCCATATGAACAACGTTTGAAATCTACGTATCATTTAAACACGTTTAAAGGGGTGTTAAAATAAACCAACATTCAACTCTGCATTTACATGTATTTCACAGGTGTGTAAATCTGGCCATTGTTTTCATGTGTTTCCTAACATGTGTAACATATGTAAATGCTGTGATTGTACGACAATCTCGTATGACCAGGGTTAGATTTGTGATATATTTAGTACATGCGTAAATGGTTGGAAATGGGTAAATATAGTGTTACATGATTAGCACTACTTTAACATGTATTTCAATGGTTCTGTAATGTAACTGTCACATAGGGTTCGTTAGCGCGTCCGAGCACGCCATAATGTACTGAGATAATTAGGAACACATGCATGGTGAAGTGATACCAATGACTGAGCACCACTAATAACGTGCGTGTCTTTCTTGACATACACATGGTGTCTGTTTAAAAGGTTCAAATATCGGGTCTATGAGCCAGAGCGATATGTATGTTAGGGATTGTGTGTGTGTGTGCGAGGGAGAGGGTGTGGCATGGGGTAGGCCTAGGGTGGGGTGGTGGGGTGGGTCGT